GTCAGCAAAGAGCTTGAGGGTTAAAACTAAACTGGTCAAAATATGGTCAGATAAGGACTTTGTCACTCTCTTCTTCTTCACTGTCTTGTTTGATTCTTGCTCTCAAAATGATTATTCTCAGTATGACAGTGCAATAATTTGTTCTCTATATTCTTTTTTTATTTTTTTTTATTTTAAAAAATCATTTGAAAAGCACAAAGGCCAAGCCATAATGACAGTACAGAGGCATAAACCAAGCCAGATTAAGACATACAAATCATGAAGCAAAACAATAAAAATGAAGAACAAACTCCAGATTTGTTGAGAAAGAGCCACCGCTCTAGAACGGAAACCACCAAGGGAGAAGAGTAGCAACTGGAGTGACCAAAGATCAGGCCATCATCAAGACAACAACTCTAAATCTGCATCTACAAGGCGCCTCCACACACCCAACCTCGTATAAGATCAAATCAAGTTAGGGAAAACAAAAATCGACCTAGATCAAAGATCTAGCCGAAAGGAAAACAACAGATTCACTCTATCGAGTCGGAAACAAACCAAATAAAAACATATCTAGTCACACAAAAACAAAAAACGATGTGAAAAACTACCCACAGGGCGAACTTATTGAGACACGTCGAAATTATTAACCTGTGGGAGGCAAGAAATGTCACTTCTCCACTCCCATGAAAAGGAGCAAGGAGCAAATCGGAAGAGGACGAGTGACTGAGAGAGAGAATGAAAGGGTAGACAAAGAGCAGAGAAAAAGTTTAGCTATATTCAAAAAGTAAATTTGTTACACTTTAATCTAATTCCTTTACATATCTTTCCTTTTCCTATTTATAGAAGTCTCCTTTGCCCTAATAACTTCTTGGGCCTTTCTAAATCCTAAGATAATATGGGCCTCAACGGGCTCATCCTTCGCTAGGACCAATACCTAGGTCAAAACAAGCCTCGCATGAGAAAAAAATGGGCTGGGAGGTTGCTAAGCTTCCTTCTTAACTGGTGGGCCAAGCTGGACTTGGCCTAGTGGGATTTTATGCCCCTTCACTGAAATTAGGCTTTCAACAACATATCGCCAAGTTTAGAAATAAAAATTGGGGTATTTGATTGATCTTGTATGGTTTCCACAAATTTCGCCAACCAAATACAATATTTAAACAACAATGGTACAAACCTAATCTTTTAATACAACTGATGTGTGTGTATATATATATATATACACACACACACATGTGAATACAACTATGGAACCAACCCAATATTTAAATGTTGAAATCTATTATAATAGGTCATGAGAAAATTTGAAAATATAGAAAGTTTGGAAGAGAGAGAGGGTATTTTCCTTTTATAAGGGCAATATTGACATTTTATTAATGTTAAGGGTGGCCTCATCGATTTCCATTTCGACTAAAGGTAAATGTTAAAAAGGGATGTCCTCTAACAAGGTTTTGCTTAATAGGGGAGGTCCGTGTAATTAGAGCAAATATAAGGGGAGGTCAGCGTGATTTAACATTTTTTTATACGTTCATCACGCACGTGTCACGATATTGAAAGTCACCAGCGTTTCTAATTGCAAAATTCAAAGTATTTCTTCAAATGATAATGGCGGGCTAATTTTACTCTTGATCAATCGCTACTATTATTCAAAGTTCAAAGACACACTTTCTCTCTCTAAAACAGTTGATTCAGAGCCCAGATGCAGAGCACAGTTGAAGACTCTGTATGGTCGAAAATGAAGGAGCTAAGATTGATATGCGACAAAGAGATTTCGATTCAGCAGCAAAAAATGGACACCGCAGTTGTCTCGTTCCGGAATTCTCTTGAATCGACGAAAACCAAAGCACAAGACACTGTTCAAGACCAAGGTACTGTTCGTTCACTACTTGATTGGTTGTATCTTGCAAGTGTACTGTTTTACTTGTTTTCCTTCTGAAATTAGGGTTTTGTGTTGCGAAGGAGTGTGTTCGGTGTGATGGGTTTTTAGGGTTTTCTTCACTGATTCAAAAGTAGTTGTACTTAATTTTATCATTGAGTGTACAATTTAAGAGGTTCACATTTGCCAATTTTAGTGCTATACAGAGATTAAATTACTTGGTGGCTTGTTAGTGGTGGTATTGATTGGCCTTTTTTTTTTTTTGGGTTAGGTAAATAACAAACTCATCGAACCCTAGCCTCCCCTTTTTCTTTTGTTGGGTAGAAAGGATTTGAAATTTTTATTTGATTTTGTTTTCTTTTTGTTAAAGCAAAACTAGGAAAGCTAAAAGCCCAGCTGAGAGAGGTGGAAGATGATTTAGTGAAAGCTCTAGCAGGTATATTTTGGAATTTTTTTTCTTGCTTTGTCTAATTATAGTAGATGTTCCTTTTTTTCGTAAATGATTTCAAATTTTATTGATAGAATCATGTGTGTTGAATTTAGCTTATAAAGAAGTTGAAGTGTCATGGCCTTATGTTGGCTTTGATTGGTATGCCCACAACAGGGTTTGAATTAATGCATTTGTATTTGTTGCTACAAGCCTACAATCATTTGGACAAAAATTTTCCTTGTTTCCCCCCCCCCCCCCCCCCCCCCAAAAAAAAAAAAAAAAAAATGTAATTTTCATATCAAGCATTTTGGTGTAATAGTGTTTTACAATTCATTAGATCTTCCATTATTAATGTTAATACTTTCTTCATCTGTTTAATTCTTTCTTATTATGGTATACTTAATATTCTATAGAGATGTATCTTTAGCTTTTAACAATCTTGCATGTTCCAAACACACTGCAAACAGTGATTTACAAAGAAGTCATTACATAAGCTAGTTAATGCATAGTACTCTTTGTTTATAGAAAAAGGGGAATTCTCTGGTGGTTTGGTTTAAAACTGTTAAGAGTTAAAAAAATGTGCTTGTAAACAATATACTCTTGAGAAGCATGTCCATACATGGTGTTGAGGAAAATTAGGATAAATGCATATGGCATTTCTGGGAATATAAGTGAGGTAAAATGTCATCACAATGTGTGATTACAAATGCAAATAAATCATCTTTTTTCATTAATAGCTTAGACTCTGGCTCTGTTAGGGCTTAGTGTCATAGGTTGACATAATTTGTGTTCAAGAAGTTAGATGTGATGGAGTTGTCATTTTGTTTATTGTTAAATTATATTTTTGTAGTCTTATCTTGGAAGATATTTATGAGTTTGTTGATCGTGACCTTGCAAAGTTTGAGGAACATCTAGTTGATGTTAAATTCTCTTCGGGATAACCTTACATTATTGACTTGTTAATTTATCTACCTTTTTAGTTAGAAGGAAATCAATTTGACTCATATTTGATCTACTTTTAATGGTTATTAAATGGTCATCTACTTTATTTAAAAATAGTTTCCCACTTATAAGATATATGCTACTGCAAAGTCTAAGATAGCTTCCTAGCATCAGTTCTATCTCCAAATTTGTGCCCACCATGTACCATCTCATACCCTTCACTGTCTTTTCCTCCATGACCATTAAAGTCTCCTATGTATAATTTTACTTCTTTGGGTATCCCTTGAATTAATCTATACTTGTGCACCCAAAATTGTGCCTTAATTTGTTTGTCTAGTTCTACTTGGGGTGCATAGGTGCTAACTATATTAACTATAATTTCTCTTAATACAATTTTTACTAATATTGTTCTATCTTCTTTTCTAATAACAGTACACCATGTTCTTTTAAATTTTTATCAATGTTTTTCCCTACTCTATTGCTATGTCTTTCTTTTTCGCTTAATAATTTTATGTCCTTTGTTTTTAATATCTCTAGCCTTCTTCTTACCCATTTAGTTTCTTGTAGACATTATATTTACTCTTCTTGTAATCATAGTGTCTACCAACTCCATTCTCTTACTTGTCAATGTTTCTTTCCTAGTTGATACTCACACACCCCCCTTCTTGTCAATGTTTCTATATTCCAAGTACCTATCGGTCCTATCCTATGTCTTCAATCAGGAATTAACTACTTTACTCTTGCTCGTCCAGAAAAACATGGGAATCCTTGCCTACTTTTTACCACATCTAAGTGCTGATACTGCACTTTTTGCCAAATTTGTGAAGCATCTGGAAGCTGATGCAACACGTCACTTGAGGAGAACAGCCTGAAATTTTTTATTCTTAGGGTTCATGTTCATATGGTTCTAACAAATTTTATCTAATGCAGAGAAACACTAATACATCTAATTTTGCTCTAGTAATTTATATGTGGGTGCAAGTTGCGTCTCGACTTGGGACCTCAAAAAAGAGGCAAGAGTGAGTTTTCTCTGTGCTTAGTTCTCACTAATAGCTGGAGCTATCTCCTGTCTCCAAAATCTCTGATCAGTCCATTTGGGTTCCTATGGATTTGTATCTTGATGGCTGAAACATAGGGTTTGTTGATGTTTGGTCCATGTGATTACTTGGATAAATGCCTACCACGTGTCATGCTTTACTTCGCTTACAAATAATCAGTCAATGTTTTCTGATACACATTTGTCATCACTAGCTGTGCTCTACATCATCACCTTCTTGTAAATAGGTGATGATCCCTAAGGAAGAACTCTTTAGACACCTCCAGAAGGGAGAGAGGGCAATGATGACATTGAGATTCTCCTTCCTTTCTCCTGGCTCTCAATTATTGTGACTTTCTCCTAAGTCTACCTTGATTCTCACTCCCAAGACCCCAGATTTCATCCTACATGTAATTTCCATCTCCTAAAGGGACTCCAACCATCCAAACATCCACATTAGTCATGGACATAGGCTGTAAAGAAAACGGTGGTATTGGTTGATGTACAAAATATAGAAAATCATTCACAATATTTTGAAGAAAAATTAATGAAATATTGAGGAATCGTATGAGATATAGTCATTTTTGTCTCAATAAATTTTGAGAGTTTTGATTAATAAAATGAGAAAAATATAACTTTGCCTTGGATTTGGGTCGACCTTTTCAATGGTCGAGTCTTGAGAATCTCAAAACACTGTTTGTATAAATGAATGCATGAATAGCTTATTATCTCTGAATTTAAGCAAGTCCAAATATGTTTGTAGGATTGCTCCAAATCCATGAAACTTTAATGGGAGTATGGGATTGAGCACTGCATGTCTTTTTGAGAGATTTCACATGAGTGATTGATCATTTTCTCCCCTTCTATTTTTGAAATTCAATATATTTTTTTTAGCTAGCTAACCTATTGCAAAAAAGTTGAGCAAGATAAAGAATAAGGAGCACCAGTAAGAAAATGGAGAATAGTTTTAAGTAGGTAAGAGACGGGCTGGCCAAAACTAATATGAAATGAATTAAAAAAAAATAAAAAGCAGAAATGGCTTGTAAAAGAAAAGAATGGAAAAAGAGAACTCATGTGGTCAACCCTATTCATATGGCGTAAGGCAACGATAATGACTGATGATGACAATTATGATTTTATGATGATAGTGGTGCAAGAATTAGGAGCAGCAATTAAATCCCATTTTAATACTTACTTTACAACTTTGTATCTTTTGGAACGTACTTTGTCCTTACATATGCTCTTGTCGGCCAACTTATTCTTTACAAGGGATGAATTTCCCCTCAATTCTCTTAGTCCTTTTACAGCTTGATAGTCCAAATACTGTGAATTTCCTGGGCAGTACTTATATTGGCATCATTCAAGGATGGATGCATTGAAGAAACCAAATATTGGGGCTCCTCTGCTTGTGGCACAACTAAGATTACATAACATTTGTCAAATGCTACATTTCAAAGATGGAAAGGGTGGTAAGCTTTATTCTATGTGCCAATACTCGTCTTAATTTTTTTAATCTAAAATACTGTGGAACAAAGGTCCATATGAGTTGGATGAGCCTCATATTGGCCACTTTGATCAACTTCTTGAAGAAAAAATTGTGAAGCCTAATGTTAACTAGACCCGGCATCACCCCAAAGCAAAGCAAAAGGCAAGGAAGAAAAAAGAAGAAGGAAGATTTTGGTTGCAATGGGTGGAGAGTTGGCTGTGTGATGGTTAAAGTGCTCAAGAATGAACAAAATACCACTATCTTTTAAATTAGTGGCGAAAGGATTACCAGTTGCTTTTGCAGCAATATATATTTTAGCTAATTTGCAAATAATGATGCTTTGCTTAGTTGATTCTCAAGCTTTTTTATCCAGCACCCCAACCTGCTGCCAATCCAATAGAGCCAATTTATTTTGTTTTTTTCTTGGAAAGTGGGACTGGGAGTGGCAGAGAGGGTTATGGATTTTCATTACACCGAGGGTTACCATTTGTTTCGTTTGGTTTGTTTGGATCCAATTAACTTAAGACTTACACATGGTTTCTGAAAAATATCAATGTGACAAATGCAGCCACTAGCTAGTTTAGCATGTGTATGACTTAACTGTATTTTTCACTTCTAGCTTGGTGCTTTACAAATGCTGTGTAATCTTTCGAGATGTCATGAACAGAGGTGTTGGAATAATGTGCATAAAATGGTGTAAATTAGCCTTTAAGAGCACAAGTGCACCAGAAGTTTGAGCCAGTATTAACAAAGTTCTGTATTAATTGTTAATATGGAACTTTTTGTTTGTCTTCTTCATCTATCTCTGATGGATCTGTCGTGTATGTCCTTATATGAGCTTTACATTTGGGTATTTTATGTAATATTGTGTTGTCCAAACGGCATTAGAAAGTTGCCAATCAGTGTCAAGTTCATTTATTCCTCTTGGTGTAATTAATCAGTAAATGCCTAAATTATTAATGTGTCTACCTTAAAGGAAGGAACAATTTATAATTTGTACTGCTTTTACAGTGAAAACCCGAAAAGAGGCGAAGCGGATGGCCACAATGGACTCAACATCTGTTATAAGAGCTAGAGTGGAAGAACTTAAAAGAATCGTGGAAGATCAAAGGGCTAGGAAGGATGAGTATGCAGCTATATTATCTCAACAGTCGGAAGGTGATTTCCTTTCTGTGTACTAGTTGACCATTACAGTGTTGATTCACCAGAAAATATGTATGCTACCCTCTCAATTTTTGGGGCCCTTGAATTTAATCAAATGATAAATGTGTTGATGCCCAGAATTATTGGCTAACAACCTAGGAAGCACGGACACGCCTAAAATGGTGAAGAATCCATGTCTGACACACGTCGGACATGCCAAAATCCGTGTCTGGAATATATATATTTTAATTTTCGGACAGGGCGAGGACACTCTGCGGACACGCCATTGCAGTGTGTCCGACACGCGTGTCTTCTTTTTCTTCTTCTTCTTTATTTTATTTTATTTTATTTTTTCATTTTCCTATTTTTTTGATGAATTTGTTTTATTCTTCTTCATTCTTGATATAATTTCAGCTGTTGCATGTGACTTGTGATGAAATATGAATTAATTCTTGATTTAAATTCAGCTGCTGTAAGTCTGTGACTTACTGACTTGTAAACACACATGAATTTATTTCATTCTTTCTTTGCTGAGTCGTTGACTGCTGTTCTTTCTTTTGCTGACTGCTGTGCTTACTGCCTTCTTTGCTGACTGCTGTAACTATGTTTAAACAATCACAAATGTTGTGACTATGCTATTTTATTTGGAGTAACGTTGCAATGATGATTAAATGATTCAAGTTATCATTCTAATGTCTTGTTTTTTATTTGGTTTATGATTTAGTGACATTGTTCTCTTATAGTTCATTAGTTATATGACTTGTGTATTTTTTTCATTGTGAGGTTGATGAAAAATAGTTAAACACTTAATTTTTAAAGTACTACACATGTATATAAAAAAATGTATATATTATTCGCCGTGTCCCCGCCGTATCTGTGTCCTAATTTTTTAGGATTTGCCGTGCCGCCGTGTCCATGTCGTGTCATATCCGTGTCCATGTCGTGCCATATCCATGTCCATGCTTCTTAGCTAACAACCATTTAAAATGAGAAAAAGATGATTTTTTTATTGCCTGAATATATGTTAAAGTTGGCAAAGTTGGTGAGGGTGAGGGTGGATGAAGGATCTGAAGGGTTTCATAATCATGTAAATTTGTACTGAATTTGCATGGGGGAAAATGTTTCAGGGAAAAGAGAAGATTTTGGAGCGGAGATTGTCAAATTTCTACATACTATGGTTTTTTTTTTTTTTTGAATGGTGTTTCTACATACTATGTTGTTAATCCTTAATGGAGTGGACGAATATATCTATGGGGCATCCAGGTTTTTCTATGAGGATAATCTTCTGTTCATTCTTACTTAGGTCACGAATATTGTTTATAGGTTTATTATTAGTGCAGCAAGCGTTAAACCTTTTTAAACATCTCTAACTGGACCAATGTTGGCAAATTTCTCCTTTTGTTTGCATATGGCAAATGTCATCCTCTGTTTTTTAGGTTTGAAGGAGCATGAGTGGCCTTAGTTTTTCTTTTTTGATGTTATTTTAAGGTCTTAGGCTAAAATTTGTATTTGGTTTTTTCGGAGGATTTCATATTATGGAAACTAGTCTTTAGTTGAATTCCAATATTAGTAATGCTGCAATATCACTTGGCCTGTTAGATACCTAGAGCTAGCTCTCTTTAAGAGTACTGTGACTTTGGATCTATAGGATCTTTAAACTTTTGTACGTTAAAAATGGATTGAATAACCAACAGGCTAATGGCCTAGCGGTACCTGGCCCCTACTTACCAGATGGAGGTCAGGGGTTCGAGCCTCAGCGGAGGCATGTGTGTGTGAGTACTAAGGAAACAAATAAAAATGGATTGAATATTATCCTCAATACATACTATCCATCATTTCTACTCTGTCTCTCAAATTTGAAATTCTTTTCTGACCCATTACTTAGGTGTTGAGGGTGAGTATGTTGATTGGTAGTTAGATCTTTTGTTGGGTTCAAGGTTTCTGAGTGGTTTAGGTATTGTTATTTTTGTTTTAAGAAATATTTTTCTTTCTTTTCATTTCTATTTGGTTTTTTTAGCAAGGTTGCTTGAAAAGATCAATTTAAAGTTCAATCTATCTGAATCACTCATTTTAAAATGATATCCACATTGTGTACTAATGACATTAGTCATGTAAGGAAGGTTCTAAATCAGATAATTGTTGTTCTAACTGTAAGGTTGTGTTGGTAACTAGCGTTAATGGACACAAAGACCAAAATTGTCAAAAAATTTGCTGCACAAATTCTCCACACTGTGCAGTGCACTTGCTTTAACCTAAACTCCCATAAATTTGGACTTCGTATTGATTTTTAATGAATTTTGTTAAGCTTATAAAAATGATTTAATATGACTGATTAAACTTTATATTTATTTTTAAGTTGCTGGTAGCAAAAAATGCCAATACCTCAACACCACATAAAGGCGCTTCATTTGAAAAGTTATTGAAGTTAAAGCATATTGAAACAACATCAGTTTCTCAATATTAATTAAGTACAACATAAAAGGAGGGTAGTTCAATTACGAATTTAGATTTGGTAAATAGAAACTAGATTCATCAACATGTTTTTGTCATCTAAATTCGAATAAGGGATCAAGATTAGCTTTGATTAATTTGACCTAAATCAATCCAAAAAGTTCAAAAAATGCAAAACAAGTTTGAAACTTATCATTGATGTGGAATATCCAAGATTTTTAATCCAGAGAAGACTCTATTGTAGGTTTGTTATTTAAAAAGGTAGACATACTGTTATATACTATTTTTGTAGGACACTAGCACCTCAATCTCCAAAGTTTAAAATTAAATAAAAATTTGAAAAATGAGTAGATAAGCTTAAATATACACTTTATAATGAGCTATTATCGCTTCGTTATGGGTCTAATGCAATTACCCCTGTGAATTTTAGCAGGATTATTAGGTTTATAACAGGTTCAGAACCATCTGATTCCATTATGTAACACTGTTAATAATATAAGCCACTTCTAAAAACCAGTGTCAAAATATATTTTTGCAATGTAATAGGTGAGAACCGACAACCTAAAAGATATCATCAAGTTTTCCTGGAAATATGTTTTGCACTCTGGTTTTTTCTTTGCTAAGTAAGATACCAGACGTAGAACCCTGTCCGAGGGATGAAGTACATATAGACTCCAAACCCGAACAGGCTTGCAAGGATTGGTCACACTCTCATTTTGATCAATATAGGTTTTGGTTCTACTTGCGAGATGTGAAAAAGAAAAGAAAAAGAACTACAACCACGTTCTATGGAAATAGTAGTTGTATGCCATTCTCTTCATTGCACGAGTTTTTGCATGTTCTTTGTACTTATGCTTGGACAACCACTTTGTTCTCATTGATTAGTAGCACACATTTATTTCTTATATATTTTTTGTAATAGATAGGACCATTGCTTGGTGCAATGGTAAAAGCTTGGTTTACCAATCCTGGATAAGCTACTTCTAGTCCGAGAGCAGCCACTTAGTGCAAAAGCAAAGTTAATTTAGGTCTGTATGCAGTTATACATACCTGCACTTTGCTGCGGCGTCTTTTTTTTTTTTTTTTGCAACAAAAAGTGTTCGAATATAACCATAATTAACTGAAATTTTATTGACTATATTGAGGGAGATTTGTGCTGCTGAAGGTTAACAAGGGTTCCTCTCAAGTTTCTTTATCTTGCATGCCTTAATCTTCAAAACCGAATAAGCTTGAAGGTAATTTTAAGAACTGTAGTTTAAAATGATTTTATTGCCATCTGGTGCCGTGCAGCCAATCTGCTTAAAGACTCATGTCTTGGCCCTTTTTCCATGTAGTATCACACCTTTAACTGTATTCGGAATATGCTGTATCAGACGCATCAGGCTTTGAACGGCGGAACTGTTTTTTCCTGATAATATTGTTCATATGTTAGGAAAGTGCTCTTCAAGCCTTTTCATTTGCCATATTAATATAAGTAATCATGCATGTGTGTTGGGCGCTGTCAGCACAACCATTACTGCATAGAATTGAAGTATGATAAGGTTGGATGTAAACTTAACACCTATATTCTTAGTGTTTTTCCATGAGTGACAAATACTGGTTACCATTATAAATTCATGATAAGTATGACCTTCTGTTGATTCTTATCCCTGGTTTGATAAGAAATATTTGGAAGAAAGAGGTTAGCTGTTGTTTGAGTTTTTGTATAAATTCTGTGTTATTGCATCTCTTGTAATCTTTGTGGCAACATTTTTGAAGCTACAAAGTAACTACTCTTTTATCCCAACTATATTGTCACGTGTAGTATCTTTCTTTCTCTTTTATTTTGGATGTTATTTTTGGATGTTGATTCCATGCTTGTCTTAGTTTATCGATACACTGTAATGTTTTAAAGAATCTGCAATGCTGTACCATTAAGCACATGATTTCTTTTTTGATACTTGATCTATGCTCACCTTTTTCACTCTTATTGGTGCCATCAAAAGCTCTAGCGGCATCTGAAGAAAAGTGTAGTGAGGTCAGTGAACATTCAGGAGCAATAGAAGAGGCTTTCTCATGGTACAATAGGGTCCTTGGTTTTCGAATTGAATGTGGACATGGTATATATATATCCTCTAACTTGTGGAACATTTATCATCTTTACCTGAGGGATTTTTGTAACAAGTTTTTGGTTTCTCTAGGGGTAAAATTTATATTCACTGACATTAATTTGAAGAATCCAAACGAGGAGTACTCCTTTACCATTCGCCATGAAAAAGATATATACACTTGTAAGGAATGTACTCTTTTTTTTAGTCAAATATTAATGTTAAATGTTCTATTGATGACATTCTACTTTTAATGTTGTTTTCTTGACAATCAGTGCTCGATTGTGATCCACATTTGAGTGACATCAAAGAGTTGGTCCATGAGTTGAATAAAAGCAATGGTTTGTTTGAATTTGTCAGAACTATGAGAGAGAAGTTTCAAGAAGCAGCAGCACGTGGTATGACACCATGTCTTGCAATATTTTCCTTTGTATACTACATTTTTGAGCTTTATAAATGAGAAGGGTTGGTTCCTCTCCAGTAAAAGCACTTGGATCAGTCTTTGGTAAATAGTGGAAGAACTCAAACCAAAAAAGGGGCCTGACATGACCCATATGCATATTGTACTCTCACGCAGAATTCAATTTGTATAACTGTGAGGAAAATATTGCTGACTTGCTCTCTCCATTTCCATATTGCTGCTAATTATGGCATTGTTTCTAACAGTTCCATGTCATTTGTCACACACCAGGAATGTTTCCTCTAGTCGAATCTCTTGATCAAGATTCTTCCATAATCTCTGTGTCTGCCCCAGTTTCTTCAGTTTCAACTGACAGTAGATGTGAATCTCCATCCAAGCATAAAGAGCTTCAACCTGGAGAGACCAATAGATATTCCAAGAAAGTTAACCATGGCAGAGTGGGTAGAAAATCAATTCTATCTCCTGTTTCTGCTTCATCTCTTCGTCGATCCCCCCGTTTCAAGGTATTATCAAATTGACAACATGCTTTCGGCCTGCATCCTACATTTTGTTTGCAGAAAGTATGTAGAGAACATAATCACAAATCACATAAAAGATTGGATTTGACATGATAGAGTTGGAAATTCTATTTGGTGTTTTTGTTAAGAGAAAACTAGTTTCATGTTTAGACTTAATATTAACTGCCCCTGGTCCAGGAGATTAGCAAATTGTGTTAAAATGAACAGCCTGCACTAACCGAAAAAAAGGGGAATTTTTTTTGAGCTGACCCCTTGTAATTGAAAAAATAATAAAGAAGGGAAAATTACGGCTCATATTTGATTGATCAACAGAATATTCATTTAGCTTCAAGAATACGAAGGACATTAATGCAGAAGGGTGGGTTCACTTCCTACTGTAAAGTGAAGCTTACGACAAATTGGGGGGTTTTTTATTCTCCCTGTGGGAGGTTATTGGTTGTGAAACTGCCCAACCAGTTACTTTTTGCTTGCAAAATGTTCGACCCTATTGAATTGCATCAGCCTAGATGAAAATTATTAGCTTGGCTGGATTAGTTGTCCCTATATATCCCATTTTCTATGTCATTTGTGTTCCCCTGAAAATATAGGTTCATTTCATGTTTAAAATCTTCACAGGTGGGTTACCTCATTAATCTCTTTGGTGGAAAGGACCAAGGAGCACCCTACTTATTATGCTATGTTTCATATCATGTAATTTGTGCTTTTGAATTGGAATTGAAGACCATGTTAGTTCAATATTTAAATAAAATTTCCTCCAAATTAAATTCTAAGACACATATTCCATGTTATCAAATGCAGCATTACTAATTTCATGTTTATATTCTTTTAGCTTCATTTTTTTAATTTGCTCATAGGTTGCACTCTTTTGTTTGTTTGGCATAATTTGAGTTGGTTTTTTAATTTTTTTATGTTAATACTGGAAATTTGATTGGTGCACAGTTTTTGAAGGAAGACATTGGATTTATGGCAGGTTAGGAAATGAAGGTGGAGTGAAGGCTATTATGTGATATGTTGGATCTGATTAACCGCTCGTGACATAAATTAACCTGTCAATAGACTCAATACCCATGACTCAAAAAAAGTGATGATTGAGATGAAAGGCGAAAGAACCTCATTCGCTTATGGTTACAAAAGTTCTTTCAAGAAGATTGAGAGAGCTCCACGAGAAATGCAATTCATTGAGCGCAATGACCTGAACTTGTACTTCTCACATTCAAACTGAGAACCTTTTGATGAACTGTAAGGGTGATACTCTGTTGTTTTAAATTATTTAATGCTAGTTTTATCTCGTATTAGTCGTATCATTTGATTTGATTTTGTGCTGTACGGTTCCCCTTAAGTATATGATCGTTTGTTGTAATATGCAACTGATGCCTGTCAACAAATTTATTTCATTTAGGCTGCTATTTAGATAAGATTAGTTCTCATATGCAATGTCTATGTTATCACAATTTTTTTAGTTTATGGAATTCAAATCCTGTAATGTGGTCTTGTATTCCAATTCTGGATTATTTAATGCGATGATGGCTGTCAAGAATGAGTTTATTAGGGTGCTTTACGAGATGCTTCATCACCTGCTTCTAGAAACATTTAGGCTTCATCATTTACCTCTGTGGAGATGGCTTTACTCGAAGTTACTATGTTTAATAAGTTATTTGTGTTGGGTGTATTACAACCAACCTTTCATATAATATAGTTGCTTAAGCAATGTAATGACATAGGACGTGGCAGGGGAGAAAATGACACAGGAAAAGCATCTTCCGAGTACTATTATAGCTGTTTCGAACTTTATTATTTATTTATTTTTGGAGAGGATAATATTTGTTTTAGTATTACATGTATATAGGTATAATATGCTACTTCTTTAATCCCTTTTCATCCAGTTGTGGATTGCAGAAGAAACATCGATTATTCTTCCTTAAATGCCTGTTTGTGCTGCTGTATTGACCATTTTCTCTAACAGCAATTGTGTCAATAGAAAATGACACTGGCAATAAATGGAAAAAAAAAAAAATTGTTCACCTACTAACCGTAAACTTAGATGGTATTAAATTTAAATGATGTTGTTGCAGGTGAATTTAAATAAGGAAAATAATAGGGTCATCGAATGATTTTGTTGAATAAGTCCCGAATCTGACGTGTTTTTGTCCATCTCATCTACTTAAATAGTTTTTAAAAAATAATTGTTTAACACGTGATAAATATAGCTAATTAAGTCAAATTCGGTGTTAATTCGGAGATATCTTTTTGGTTCCCCCTATCATTACTCTTTAAATAATGTGTGTAGCCAAACTAATTTTCACCTCCCTAAAAAAGTTTATGGAGAGGAATTAACACATTATATAGACGCTCAACTAGAGCTGCAAACTTATGAGTTTCAACACATTAATCAGTTTTCACGAATGAATGAAAACTATACTTTCCAATGGTACAATTGGGGTCACAGCCAGGTGCAGGCCTAAAATTTTAATAGGTTTCATCAACATTTAACCTACAGATTACTTAAATTATCACCCAATTAACTTTGGTTGGCCCCTATTAAACATTTGACCAATCAAATGTAAAATTAGAAGATTACCCAAGTAATTTTTAGCAAAAGTCATCTCAACTTTCTCTTTAGAAAACTCCAACTTCTGTGAGAATTTCCTAGCATTGTTTCTGTACACTGATATTATTATCCAGCATCAGTTTCACATTCTCTCTCTCAATCTTTCTGCCAGATTGGTTTGAGAAAACTTATATGTATATATATATATATACACTTGAGGGGAAAAAAAATGAGGATATTAAGGGATAATCCTAGAGATAAGAACCCTCAACAAAATCTATTGATAGAAGCGAATGAGCTTAAATCAATCTCCAATAATATAATCGAATACAACTCAACTCAAGGACGCCTTTTTTTCAACTCAGCCTTTCATACTTGCTGCATTATTTTTACGCGGTTAGGAAAAAATAGGGTTGTGCTAGGTAGGACTACAATGTAGATCGCAATCTTCCATCAGGTCTATATGAACATCAATCCTTTTGATGCTAATGTTTGTCATAATTTTTTTTACCAACTTATGGCCTTAATACCTCTGTATAGCGTTAGCCACTCGATTATCCTGCTACTAAGGAGAGCCATCTACAAGAAAGTTGAAGACTCCCGTCGTATCCCCCTTCGGTTGCAAAACCAAGTCGCGTTGCAGTCGCGAATAAAGGCCAAGTAGTTTCTGTAGCCAATAAAAAGGCTTTAGCCAAGCAAAGCATCGAGCGAAAAGGCAATGCCATGCCTTGGGTCTACGACGTCATCTTGGAAGTGAGGCTGAAGCCTTGTATGAGTGAGCGGAGTGAAAATTACTCTGACCTCCTCGAGAATTGGTCAATTTGCACATTGATAGATCTTTCAGCATTTACTACTTTGACCTCCCTTAAGATTTGACACATATGCTTAATGACATGACACCCCTAATGTTTTCTTTTTTGACCAAATTTTATAAAATGATAACTTTGTCCTTCCCTTGTATCAAATGCAATTTAATATATTATTATAATAGAAGGACGCTACTGAATTCTTAACTCAAAGTCTCTTTCCAGCAACCGGTTTTAGGGGGTCAAAGTAACAAAAGCTGAACAGTCTACCCATGTGTAATTTGCCCAAATCTCAAGGGAGGTATGTGTAATTCACCCAAAATTCTAACGCTATGAAGAACCCCTCAAATGTACAGAAGAAGAAACAGACCCAGTAAATAAAGATGTGCAATGAGAAGGCATAAATTAGAAACTATCACCTCAGTCTAGGTGATGGATGAGGCAGTAGGCAAGCCGGGGACCATTCAATCCCAGAGATCAGTCACCGACCAAAATCTCGCAACCTAGAAGACGCATCCTCCAACAGCACAGCATGCAAGCATAAGCAGCACACGCTCTTCCTATTGTTTCCTAAAAGTAGGCAAAGATGGCTTCCATGCCTTAGTATACTCGTTAGTATTTGCCAATGGATTGAGAACCATCATTTAGCTGTTGTTTTATCAGTGGCGGGCAAGACATAATCAACAATGCCTTGATTGGAAAATTAAAAGGGAAGAAAAGAAGAAAAACATATTTTATATGCTCAGAAATAAACTTGGAACACACCCAAACTGGACACGCTAAAACATAAGAGATCTACCTTGGGAACCAAAAAGACGACCTATTTTCATTTAAAATTAACAGAAAGACAAACTCATGAACTCAATTGTACTTTCTTCTGCTTTGATCCCACCCTAACCCTGCATTTCCTTTGTTTCCAACCGCTTGTAATGGCTCCGTCAAACCCTTTGTGCTATTGCCAAGAGCCTCTCCCTGCGCACAATATTGAGAGAAACATCAGTTGAGAAATTTTTAAAAATGGCTGCACATACATGGAATTCAAATTCCACAACACCATCTTGTCAATCCAAACTCTTCAATGGTCAATGGTTGCCCAAGGGCAAGAATGATGCATTGCTGGGCTGCTACAGTGGTACCACTCATCTCTTAATTTCCTGCTTTCAGAAGCTTCATATCTTTTTATCATGTGATTTTGTTTTTATGCCTCAAATAAATTTTATTTTCGAAGACTAATAAACCATTGTTCTATTTGTTTAAATTTCTTTAAAATGGGAAATTCTAAAAATGTGGATCAAAGAGGATGACCTTAAATCCGATATTTTAAGAGGCTCTTCTGGAGAGCCGAAAGTCAACATCAATTCATTAAATGACATCAGCCAAAGCCTGGAGACGGTTCCACTTTAAACTAGAAAATTAAAGAGGTCTATACCCTAATTTTTCAGAGGAAAATCCGCTTCCGTTGCCTCTAAACTAAATTTTCTTCCAAAAACCACACCATGTGTCTAGAAATTTACCTCCTTCCAGCCCATGTTTTCTAGAATTTTTCTGGCATAGCTACCAGCTCCAAATGACATGTTCAAGGACTCTGCTGCAGCCTCCTCTGGAGAAGCAGAAACAGAATAAGTCGGGGCAAAATCCACATCAAATGATGACTTCTTCTGTCCTGGGCTCACACCATAACCACCATGCAAGGCTCTTCTCTCAGAAGCTCTATCCCTATACCCATGGCTTTTATGCTAAAAAAGAAATAAAACAAAAATGAAAATTCGATAAAGATATATTACAAGGGATCAGGACCAATTGGGAATAAAATGTAAATATACAGTACCACCTGTGGAAATATATGATAAAATTTTAATTATGGCACAAGTAGATGACAGTTATGGATTAGTCTTTCAAGCATTGACAACATGTTAATTTCCTGAAGGCAACGTTCAGTACCTAACTCACAATTGCATAAATGTGTTCCACTTTAAACTAGAAAATTAAAGAGGTCTATACCATAATTTTCAGAGGAAAATGTGCTTCAGTTACCTCTAAACTAAATTTTCTTCGAAAAACCACACCATGAATCTAGAAATTTACCTCCTTCCAGCCCTTGCTTTCTGGAATTTTTCTGGCATAGCTACCAGCTCCAAATGACATGTTCAAGGACACCACTGCAGCCTCCTCTGGAGAAGCAGAAACAGAAGAAGACGGGGCAAAATCCACATCAAATGATGATTTCTTCTGTCCTGGACTTACACCATAACCACCATGCAAGGCTCTTCTCTCAGCAGCTCTATCCCTATACCCATGGCTTTTATGCTAAAAAAGAAATAAAATGAAAATGAAAATTCGATAAAGATAAATTACAAGGGATCAGGACCAGTTGGGAATAAAATGTAAAGATACAGTACCACCTGTGGAAATGTATGATAAATATTTTAATTATGACACAAGTAGATGAAAGTAATGGATAAGTCTTTCAAGCATCGACAACATGTTAATTTCCTGACGGCAACACGTTCAATACCTAATTCACAATTGAACTTATCAAAAAAACAAAAAAAAAAAACCCTAATTCACAATTGAATAAATGTGTTTCACCCTACAAGTAAGCTGACATGTAAACTAAACTTCCCAAATTTCGCAAACTTATTCAATTTTTAAATAGATTGGATTATTGTTTAAGAACCCGACGGACCCATATCTGCACCAATTATCAACCCTGGAACAAATCTTTTGCACTTTCAACAGTTGCTGACATGATGTTATGGAAAAGTTATCAGGTTGGGTGGTTTGGTAGTTTTGAACCTGCCCAACTTTCTTAAAAGACTTCAACCATACTAAAATAAGCTAGACTAAACTCATTACTGCCTCTGCTGGAATCTCTTTAGATGCAAAAATCAATCCCTACCCCCAAATAACAATCCATCAAAAGAAAATACTGAATCCATAATCCCAATAAACTACATCAACTGCATCTTATCAATTACTGAAATATTTCAATAATCTGAACTATTTAGAATCAACTGCATCTAATTACTTGGGGAAAAAAAAAACTGCATCCAATTGATGACAGAATATGTCCATGATCCTAACTAGTGTCTAGGTCCTCTAGGATGCTAATACATAGCTAGATATTCTGCTGATGAGATCTTCTGGCAATAGGAAACTGAAAGACTGGCCCATCTGTAGTCTGCTGACTTCAAAAACCGCCACAACACAAGATGAGAAGTAAATATTAGATAAACAGTTGTCAGAATAATGCTTATAGCATGGTGATTGGGAGTGTATTATTACTAAATCCACTATCCTAAACTCCTAATGATCATGAAGGGAGCTACTTAGCACAGTTGAAGCATTATATTACAAGGGGCAGCTTATGAAACATAAGAAAGAACAGGGAGATATTTAAAGCAAGTTTACTTGGAAGCAGTCTTCTTTCTATCTATGAATTGACTCTCTTTCTTTATTTATTAGTATCTTCAAAACATTTCTCTAATATTATATATGCCTTTAAAAACCAGACAGACTTTCTACAAAAGAAGGAACAGTATAAGAAACTACCTTTCTTGATGCAGAGAGACCGTCTGGCAGCAAAGATAAATCCCTGTTGGAAGGAACTTCCTCTGTCATTTCGGATTCACATTTTCCACTGGATTTAGGCATGGTCCTCATTTGCTTATCCATTGACAGTTCTGGGAAGCCCCAATCTTTTGTTGGGTTGGAGGAATCATATGTTGGCAAGGAACCCAAGTATCGTGCGCTAGGACTCCTCAATTTATATATTTGCCCTGAACAAAGGAAATTCAAATGATCTGTATCAATTAACATCAGATTATTGAGATAGAGAACCACCAATGGTTGTAGCCCTATGGTATCTCCTTTGCCTCCCAAGTTGAAGGTTGGGGGTTTGAGTCCCCATAGGGTAAAGTGAATGTGTGGGTTATTGAGAGAGAGCATACTAGAAAAAATTAAAAATCAGAGCTCAACACCTATAGAAGTGAGAATAAAATGATACAGGAAAAGGGATAATATACATATCAGAGTTAGGGCTGCAACTTGAACCCATCATGAATTTTCATGGGCTTGGACAGTGGTTTCTATAACTTGGATTAAGCTTGGGATGGAAGACCTGAACCAAATTTAATTCAGCTCGAGCTCGAGTTGAGGTGTCGTTCTACCTTAACGATTGTCACCTAACCTAATCCAACTCCCAACTCAAATTCATATATTTATAATTATATAAATATCATATATATCTAATTTAGTACTTCCTCCATCTAATTTTTTTTGTTCCTTTCAGGATTCCAACTTTTTAAAAAACATGCGTTATCTCTTTTGAAAGTCCAAAACTACCCATTTAAAGTTTTAAAATTCATATTGTTAGTTTAAGAAAGTTTTCAAAGGCCAGTGCTATTTTTTAAAATATAAAATTTCCTACATTAACTTTCCAAATGGGAAATCCAGAAATGGAAAAGGGGACATTATTTGGGGACGGAGGGAGTAAAAAAAATTTCGCTGTATGTATATTAGTTGCTCCACAAAGCACCATACAGTTTCTGAAGAAGTGTGCATAACTTTAAAACAGTAACCCTAACACAAGATCACAATATGATCTTCATTCCCTAACAGTCTCATTCTCAAACTATGGCTGTCTCAATTCTCAAGCCTCTAGTAACACTCTTTCTTTGACTCCTAGCATCTCACAATCTCACCATATAGGTGACTGTCACGAATATCACAAAAACCTCAAGCCTCTCCAACTTTCAACGTCTCAATAGCAAGCAGCATCACTTGGGCGACTGTCACGAATCTGGTTAGTCTTTGGCTTAAGTGTTCTAATAGACATTCTATTCTCTCTTTCTAAATTTCTTGATCTCTCCATCTCGAACTGCAGTTGGGATTGATGTTCTATGATGGTTAATTCAAAACACAAATTAAAGCACAAGTTGATCTTTAACATTCCCAAGGATAGGTCATGACAAATCATCAAGATCTTGTAATTTGCAACACAAGATTAACTATAAATACCAAATTTGAAGATATTATCTGCTGGCTTTTTATATTGCAATCATATTGGATTGAGGTTCAGAGATCTCATTTTTTTTAGTTTATTAATTATTAGATAATTCTAAATTACTCTTATAGTTATTTCTTTCAAATTTCTTTTGATATTTCCAAATTTCTTATTTCTTTACTTTCTCTTATTTTTTCCTCAAAACATTTTGCTTCAAACATTAACATTTCACGTGAATGAGCTAACTTTTGTTTTTTAGTTTTTTTTATTTTTAATATGTTGCCTACTTGAAATGTCTGAACATATTTTGATACAAATGCATGTTCTATATTGATTGATTTGACTTTAAAAAGAAGAAGAAGAAGAAAGAATTAAAACTGGTTGGAGACTATACATCAAGCTTGGAAAAGACTGATAAAACCACTAGTAATATTGCTAATGCAAACTCAGGGTTAAGTGCTAACAAATAAAAGTTTATGAATCTTTACATATTCAGAAAAGAAGGGATAGAAATGAGAAAGCAACATGCAACTAGATAAACTGTTTGTGATGTAGTGTTCAGGGAACTAAAAAAAGCTTAGAACCAAGTGGGGATGGAAAGGGTAACACTAGGGCAATGGGCTAAATCATTTCTGGAAGTGGCAAAGCTCCCTCATCTTCCATTTGAAGGGGAAGATAGAGTGCTGCCAACAACAGGAGGGGCTTGTTTCAAGGTTGAAGATAGGGTATGGAAGCATAGGGAGTTTCTCCAGTCTTGCTTTGTGGGTAAGTTCGATAGAGAGGTGGGTTCTCAGGATCAAATTGGGGCTTGGACAGCAAGGGTTTGGAAGGTGGCTGGTGGTGTTGTGGTATCTCCGTCTACCTTTGCATGAGGTTAGAGGTTAGATGGAGGGGAAGAGAACTTGGGGATGGGTGAGGTGACTTTCGCTTGACGTTAGATGGTTGGGTGTTTAGGGTGCTGCACTGACATTTAGAGGAAGAGGAAGGAGATGCAAATCCTCCTTTATGGGTTGTCGTTGCATGTCTGGTGCCAGTCCCTATTCGAAGCTGTAGGAGATGAGTTTGTGGGGTTCATGAACATAGAGGCTGACTTGTGTACAGATGCCAAGAAGGTGGAGATCACGGTGAAAAAGATGACAGGCTATGTTATCAAGTGGCTTTGGTGGAGGAAAAACACTGACATTTGTGTCTACATTAGATTATCTTTCTAGCAGAGATGAAAGCTTGTTGATTCCAGAGGAGGAATGTTGGACAAGGAAGGATAAGGAGCTCAGTGGGCTTGGAACCAGTGGCGGAGCCACATTACTTATTTTTATTTTCTATACATAAGTTTTAAATTTATAGAAATGCCCCCACGAAACCCCTAAGAAAATACAAAAACCTTCAGAAAAACATCCAAATTTTAAAAGGCCCCTCATTTTCACTCTCATTGGCCCAATATAATTTTCAAATAAAAGACCTACGTTCTTTTCTCCTCTAGCGGGTCCCACAAAATTTTAAGAATCGAAATTCAAAAAAGATACCTCCTTTGCTATTTATTATTTTGGTTAGAAAATTCTTATCATATTATTGTTAATGGTTGACCCTTTGAAGTAAATTTCTGGCTCCGCCACTGGTTGGAACTAGGGTTGATGTTGAGAGGGGGTTGCAAATCAAGTTGTAGAGGGAGGGCATTGGGAGGTAAGGGACGAAATGTTAAACACGTGCCTAGGGCATGTGGAAGGGTGAGGAGGGATGGAGGGGCACATGGCCAGCGAGCTTCAGACTCCTCTGAGAAGTGTGGTACAGCTGGTCTAACACGAGGAGCAAGGAATTGAAGGCACAAGGGGAGGGTCAAGTGATGTGGGAGGGGACAATTTAAACTGTGATTGGTTGGGCTGTAATTTTTTAAGGGGGAAATGGCGTAATTGTAAAAGGGGAAATGGCTCACTCAAAAATGTTTTAAAAAAAAATATCAAAAATATAATCATAAAAGTAATTGTAAAAGTATCTAGGAACATGAAAATAAGATCTTTGAACCTTAATCTCAATTTTTCAAAAGAAAAAAATTGCAATTCAAGAAATCAAGTGGAGCTCCTTGATGTGTGACAAGGTAAGGGACAAAGAGCTTGGAGGATGTAAAGACACAGTTGTCTTGCAAGGTGAGATAAGAATTATCATATCGTAGTCTTATATTAAAATTTCTACTGGAAAGTTGAAAGTTTTAGGCTCTTCCTTAGAATTATATAATGCTTTCCAACAAACGATATATATGTGTGTGTGTGTGTGTGTATGCAATCTATGTATTATTGTTACATTATATATATCATGATATATATAAATAGATAAACACAGGTTAGGAGTCTAGCAACATGATAATGAGATCTCTGAACATCAATCTCAAATAGAAAAAGAAAAAACAACAAATAATATCTACAGATTTGGTATGGAAAGTGGAGTTCGTGCTACAAAATCACAAGATATTGATGATCTGTCATAACCGAACTCTATAAATATTAATAAATATTTAGGGTTTCCTTTTGTGTTCTGAAGTAAACCAATCCTGCCCTTAAAAAGTCAAATTGCAATTCAAAAAATCAAGTGCGGCTGCCTGATGTTAAGGAGGTAAGAGACGAGGAGCCTGGAGGATGTTGTGACACAGTCATCTTGGATGGTAAGATAAGAATATCATATTGTAATCTAATATTAGGATATCTACTTGAAAGTTCTGGGCTCTTCTTTAAAAATTATATAGTGCTTCCTAAAGCACATGGTATGTGTGTGCGTATATATCCAATCCATATAGTGTTATTGTTTCTACACTTGCCAAAAAATGTATCGTTATTGCATTATACATATAATTACATATACAAATAGATAAACACGGGTTAGAAGTCAAGTTAAACTCGAGTTACTCAATTTAGTCTAGGTTGGGGTTCAGTTCGAATCAACCAACACCACAATCTTAACCCAACCCAAATACAATTTGGGTTGAAACTTTCAACCCATGCCTGACTCACAAAAACACTATCTAGTGAAAAACGGATTGGGGTGCGGGCACAAGTTGCATCTCTAGGAAAAAGCATAGAATCTATATTATAAGAATTATCCCAAGGAAATAGATGGTACGGTTCAAGTTTCACATCCTCTTTTACCATTAACTACAACCACATGGAGCATTGAGAAAACAGATTAAAGAAAAAAATAAAACCAAAAGCAAATGAGCTTTTAAAAACTGCATAAGGATTACATTAATTGTAAGATAAATAGAGGCAAATGGCCAACCTGACGTAACTCGTACCAAGTCAAGACGCACTTCACGTATTGGAGCAGTTTTTAGTACACCACCGCGGGATGGCATTGAGGGATGAAGCTTAGTGGACGGTTTTACCAGTCTCCCAACCAGCCTAGCCACCTGACCTTTTCCATCCTTTCTGGTCCCCGCAATTATTGTCCAATCCCATAAATCGACTGCTGATAAATCTGGCACTGACTCTTCACCAGATTGAATGACTTGACCATACTGAGCTCTCCAGTTTTCTTCATCCCAAGAAGCAACTGTGAGAAAAAAATGCTCATGTCCTTCAACACAACTCTTCAAATGATAGGCGATCATGTAAATGATTTTAAGTGAATGAAATAAGAATCATATGGATCTTGATCACATTCCAAATAACAAAAGATGGAATGAAAATACCACTTGGCCATTGGCTTAGGTGGTATAACCTCTCCTCCCCAAAGGGGAGATGAGGACAAGTCCCATGGTGGGCATATGTTGGGGTGTGTGAGTATTTACGTAACCCAAAAAAAACAAAAAAAAAAAAAAAAGGAAAAGAAAAGAAAAGCCATGGTAGCAAGAAGAACTGAATGAGAACCAGACCAGTAAACTCCAAAGACAGAGTGTTAATTGGACCATTGGGTTTATAGTACTTTCTCAGGCACACAATTCTCCTGTAAGTGTCTCTTTATAAGAAAAGCCAAGGGGTTTATAGTAGGAAAAGCTGGCAAGGTACACATTCCCCAAGGCAGAAAAAACAGGTGAAACCCAAAATTGGTTACTTTAACATGATGATGACACTAAAGAATTCAATTATAAATAACACAAACCCTCATCTAAGACATTTCCACTTGAATCAGTTGCACCATGACTGTCATCCGGAATCCATTCACCTTCTTCTAGTTCATAAGAATCATCATTTCCTGCACCTCAACAAAGCAGACCTACTCAGGTCCCGCTCTAGCCATAGCAGTCTCTCTCCAAATGGGTACAAAAATATTTGTGACAAACCATCAGCTGACAAATTTGAGCTATCCATGCCATCTGTTTCCACAAGCACCCTTGTATCGCACGCAGCATTGATTGCTTGATTGGAATAACCGGATAGATAAAGATCAATAAGTGTATCTTCTAACCTGACAATAGCAGTTTGTAGTTGTTAGGATAGACATACAAAAACAACTGCAAGGATCAAGAATGAAGTTAACAAATAGGTAGATTCTATATACCATTCTGATGGAGGAGGTGGATTTTCATGTAGATCACTGTTAACACACTCCGTGCAGGCTGTTAATGATAAAAATGAAATATAGAAATAAGAAATACTTAACACATTAAAGTCAATGTAGAAAAATGCAAGTCCGAGGCTTCTAAAAAAATATGATAAACCAATGTAGAAAGTACGTAGTAGTTATACACATATAATTTCATGTAACCATCAAACATGGCACATACATGATACAACATTGTGTGTCCACAATACACTGTTAGAGATGGTGTTAATGATGAGTAAAGACGGCATAGAAGCCGCAAGGACAATCGCAGTTGAGATGAAGAGTGACAGAGCTTATAATAGGAACAAACATCTTAACCAGCCAAATGTCAAATGCTAAAGGATTATCCTTGTTTCTCTCTCAATTATATGATGCAATAGACAATTAAGTTCATTTGATCCACTAAATATTTCTTATAGCTTCAACATAAGAGATGAAAAAGAACAGTTATATCATCCAGTTCATTTAATAATTATCATAGCTTCAAGCACATGGCACATTTTCTATGAGCAAGGCGCAAAACCTCTATGCTATTTGCAGGCCATACTTCGTATGGAAAAATAGTGGGTATAAGCTCTCCTCCCCCTTTGGGGAGGTCGAGTGTTTGAGCCCTGGTGGGGGCAAAAATATATAGTGGGTGTGTGTGTGTGCTTGAACCTTTGAAGAGGAAAAAAAAAAGGAATGGTGGTTCCCTCATGTGGTCATCAATTTGTATATGGAAATATAGTTATAGTGTATATAATTTCATGATAGCAATAGGCATGTGCATTAGCTCACCTGTAGTGGGTTCATCAGTTCCTCCACACTGGTTCAACTCAGGTTGATCACCCTAGCATGATGTTGTAACAGTATTTAGAATTAGTCAACTTGAAACAGCATATACTTAACAGAATCTGAGAATCAAGCATCAACAATAAACAATTCACAGCAAAAAATAAACAAATAAGGCAAATCCTAACCTTTTCCGATTCCAACAGGACATAATTCCCATTCTCAAACTTGTAATAGAGACCATCCCTACTGCTGTAGTACCAGCCAGCACTTGGGTCATGATAAAATCCACTACTGCAGCAGATTAAGCCAGACAAGGGTTATGAATGTAGCAAATGAAGTTAAAAGTAAATATACCAACCAAATAGTAAAGACCCAGAATTCTCTCACAACACAATTGGAACATTATGTTGCTACAACAGAAGTAATAAGAGCAGTTTCCACTACTTAGGTGCAATAAACAGAAGAACACTAATGGTTTGAGGAAGTACCATTTCTGCATCAATTGCGATAACAATAACAAACGTGGCAATGATTTTCCTAACGATAACCAAAATAACTAGCCATGATGAGTTGCATCGAGTTAGATGTCAAAGAGTAAAGACCAGAAAAGAAGTTGGCAACTTGGCATTTAGAAAAAAAATTTACAACGCCTTTATGATGAGGATCATTTCTAGAAAAAGTAAGGAACAAGAAATCGTTAAATTCACTAGGCAAATTGCCCCCATAGCATCCAATAACCGCCAATGCTTCTCAATTTTAAGCTTTAAGCACTTGCAACCTCTAACCAATAGATATTACAGATGTCTGAAACTGAGATATCTCAATTAGTTTTAGTCTCTAAACAAGCTTGAGGGCATACAAAGTACGGAAAACATAAAGAATTTTCTTTGAAAAACACCACAATAATGGAACAGTAAGTATATTACCACGCAACCACAAACCAATGAGTTCGCTTCAATTTTCGAAAAAAAAAAATACCACAAACCAATGAGACATTGACAAAGTTACTAATATTGATGGCATAAACTAGAAAGGTAATTAAAAGGGTAACATAATATAGGGATCTTAAACCCTAAAACAACCAATTAAAGTATACCCATCATGATTATAAATCTAAATTGTGAAAACCCTAATTCAGATTTGAAGACAAAATAATTGGAAAACCCTAATTCAGATTTGGAAGACAAAATAATAGGTAGTGAGAGAAACCTGGCGTGGAAGTATAGCTGAGATTCGTCGTCCCATTTGAAGCCGCAATTGTCCTCCTGCACTTCTTGAAAATCTGGTTCCGTGTTCTCTGTCATCTGCTAGGGACTCTTCTTTGTAAGTCTTATCGTGTATATAATGTATTATTTACACACGTATATCATATATGAGTATATGACTAGAATTGGCCTGTTTTATGATGTTTTAGAATTGCAATTAAAGACAGAATTCAAAAACCATACATGCAAAAGAACATACATGAAGAACATGTTTTGTTGGGATTATATACTTAAGACGCCAATTATTATTTTATCGCAGATTTCCCATTCCGGCCAACTTCCTTTACAACTTACCCAATAAAGGACCACGTGGCCGTCAATATATAATTCAATACTGGTCCTGTTATATATGGAAACAAATATTGTATTTGATATAATTTTATGAAAGTGGGAATGAAATGAAAAATGAATTTGAAATTAAATTCTTTAAAATTTAAAATGGTTTCATTATTAATTGATATTCCATGGATTATATGTTGATGTCCCACATCATTTGGGGCAGATGAAAGGTTGTTAATATTTATACATGTGAATGTATAGACTTGTTTTTAAAATTATGAACAAGAAGATGCAAAAAGGACAAATGGTATCAACCAAAAATTGGGGGAGCATGCATAAGCCCATGTCCCTAACAAGGGGATTGTGATATTCCATGTTAGTGAGGTTGCTGGTTATTAGATGTGTTGATGCTTACTAATTTGTGTGGAGGGGTTTTGAAAATTGTGGATATAAAAAAGTGTGTAAAGTGAACAATATTTATATAATAAGATATATATGATATATATGGTATTATTGCCAATCCTAATGAGCCAAAAATGGGAAGAGAATAGACAAGTTCACGAGGGTCAAGCCAACGAGAATGTTGGGTCCAAGTCGGGAATTGTGACGTCCCCCGTCACCTAGGAGAAAGGTTGCTAAAACTTACATACGTCGGTGCTTCTTAACCATGTTCCATTTTCTCTTTTTTGCTGAAAGCAGGACCCATTGTTCTATTTTTGCCCACTTATGGGAAAAAAAGATAATGAGATTCTCTCTCTTTTATTTTTATTCTTTTCACAGTAATCTGCATCAAAATTAACTTTAAAATAACCCACAGAGCATAAGCAGTGTTGTACTGACTGGTCTCTCTTTATTAGTCATGGTAGCTTGACATTGAGTTTTATTTTGAACACTGTCCCCTGCAGGAAAAAAATAAGTTTTTGCTGGATTGTAATTTTCTAACTAATCCCGAAATTGATATTAGCCCTAATGGCAATTTTTTTTCTTTTTCAAAAAACTTTCTAAAGACAAGGTTAAGTGTTGGAGTCATGCTTGAAACAATATTGTAGAAGAGTTAAAAATTTGGCGCCAGATCTCTTAATCTTAGAACACTCCATAATCCATCATTGGGGATATGCAATTTTCGTCCAACATACACTATCATCGCACACCTGCAATCTCCTGTCCAACATATACAAACTACTCCATGATCTATCATTGGGCACATGCAATCGTGATCTATCCATTGGACACATGCAATTCCTGTCCCACATACACTACCTTCCGACACATGTAATTTCTCATCCCACATGTATGGGTAATTACAGGAAAAATTGGTGGCCCAAAGGAAATAAATAAAATAATTTTTTATTTTGAGCCCATGGGACTGGTAGTTAAGAGAATTTGGGTATAAGCCTCTAACCAACCTACAGCCACCAAAAAAATCTGCTGCAGGGTGATACCTTTTCAGCGGTCCAATTCGTGAATACATAAGAAAAGGAAAGTCGATACCCATATCTCTCCAATTCGTGAATAAATACAAAGTGGTGGTAGCTTCAATTTCAATCAATGAAGTATTCACAGTCCATGGACGACAAGCAAATATCAATGGATTATTCTATCTCCCAAACCAAACACTGTTTCGACTTCTCCAACACTCCAGAAGATAGTGAAGAAGAAGAAGATGACGATCGAAGCTATAATTACCCCCCTTTTCAACCCCTCGGGACTTCACACTCATACCCTTTTACTCTCAGAGTATGATTCTCTCTCTATACACAAACACACAAATACACACAATTTAGAGAGTGGGTGAACTTTCGAATAACTGAAGTAATTTTTGATTTGATTGATAGCGTTGTGTGTATATATCATATACGTTTTACATTTTGTTGATTTGGGAAAGTATTGTTAGGCGTGATGGGTTTTAGAGAACATTATGGGTTTCCACTTTCCAGCATAGGATGATTTATTCTGTGTGTAATTGTGTGTGTGTGTATATATATATATATAATTTTTTAGAATAATATTATATTTTTAGAATAATTGTGTGTCTGTTGTATATATTTTTTAGAATCTTGCTGTTATACTAGTTTATATATATTATGAAAATTGTGTAGGTTTTTTTGGAGAGATGGGATCAAATTTCTTTTCTTTTATATATTTTTTTAGTTCTCTCGTGGGGAAGAAATGAACTATTTACAATTAACTATCAAAAGTGACTTTGTGGTATGAATTTGGGAGAGGGAAAGGTAGATTCCCTCATGAGGAGCAGGTATTCTCTATGTGCTGGAGCAAGTTCCATTGTGGGAGTGTTGGGAGCAACTATACACATCTCCTGTTTGGTGCTTTGAGGACCACATCCAATTAAGAGAATTTAGGTGTCAAGTTTACTTTGTATTCTTTTTGGGGTTTTTCATTGGATACTTTTTGTGAGGTCCTTTTGGTATTAAAGGTATGCATAATTTCGCAAGTTCAATGCATTGGTATCTGGGTGTTGAAATTTTGTAAAGTTTCAGACTCAAAGGCTTGCTCTTGCGCCATTAAATTACTAGGAATTCAGATGTTTGTGATGATGGTAAAAATTCGTTTTTGCAGATTGTAGTGGAAAAGAATTGACGGAAAGAACAACTTTGGTTTTCAACTAGGGCTGACAAGCGTGAGGATGCAGAGTCGAGTGTGGGAGTAGCCACATTGTGTAAAGTAGTGTTGAAGGTTAGGTTTATCTCTAGTCTTCCCCTTAAAGCATCCCGTTTAAGCGGGACATGCTAGGTAATGCCTTTGGCAATTTTGCTTTTCGAGGATCATTGGCTCGAGTTTTGCTTTTTTCGTTAGCATATACATAAGGTTTTGCTAAAACAATGATGATGCAACTATGGTGGATATTTCAAGTCTGATGGAGAAGACTTGGCAGTTGTATGGAATTAGATCCAGGATGGTGCTTGTTGGAAATTTTCTCATATTATTATTTTATTTGGAACTTCCTTTAGGGAATTTTCTTGTGAAGAAATTAATTTTTAGTTTTTTATTCCTTGTTCAGTAAGAAATTTGGTCCAAGAGCTCTATTGAAAAGGACTTCATGGTAGGAATAGGAGTTGCTAAGTTAGAGAGGGGTCCTCCCCTTGTGGGGAGCTCATGTTGGCTTATTGGAAATTTAAGAGCCATTCATTTATATGGCTCTGGAGAGTAAATCTACGTGTATCTTTTTTCAGACTTCCTGTACCACCATATGGCTTTGGCTAATGTATCCAATTCTATGTTACCTGAACTAGGGTACGTGTGTTAGGTGCGAGTATGTATCCAAGTTGTCAGACATATCAAATCCTCAAATTAGAGGACACAGGGACACTGCTAAATATTCATATTATCTAATATTTTCATTATGTTTTATAGAGTAAATTATATATTTATTTCATTTTACATAGTGTTTAATATAAGCATTTCACTCGTTTTGAAGTAATAATATAATAAAATAGAATAATCGAATATGCTTTTTAGGTGCACTACCAAAAAGTTGGGCACACATCCCAAACCCATGTCCCAATGTGTTCGACACGGGTACTTCAACTACTTTTTGAAGAGTCCATGTCATATAGATCTAATTAAGAGTGTTTATGTTTTAGGTTTGATCTGTAATTCTTTTGAGGGTTTTGGTTTAACACCCTTTCTTTTTATGGGTTCTTTAGGAAAATTCACTTGTAATTTCCTTATCCTAGTGAAGTTCGTTGATCGTCTTTGCCCGTGAACATAGATTTCAATCCAAACAACTTAAAGTATTATGTACTTTATTTGTTGCATTTCTTTGCATCCTACTTCATTTTATTCGAAAGCTAATCTTTGTTTTTTCAAGGCAAAATGGTATTAGAGTTTCTGATTAATTTCACAACAGTTTTAATGCAACTATTGCATTGTGTATGGAAATGACTGGAAGCATATATTAGTTTGTGTATACCACGTGAGTAGTTTACATGGTACTTATGAGAGAATATATTACATTGATTACACTCTTATTTTGGATTGACATAATTGGGAGCATTTTGTGGGATGTCAGACCAAAATTTCAGACCTCTTTTACATTTTCATTTTCTTCACCATTAGACTTTGGAAAAACAATTTGTCTATTCATTATTCATTTTCTTCACCTAATGACTTTGGAAGAACAATTTGTCTATTCATTATTGTAATAAAGATGTGCAGAGTTCTGTCCATGGCATTAAAAATCAGGTGCTTGCATCTTGATTGTGCAATCATGGATTTTTGCACAATTTTGGTACATACTGTCCGCATAGAGTTGCTTGCCACTAGCTGTATACTTGTATAGTTGTTACATTAATCAAGTAATAAAATGATATAGGAATGGATCTAAACCACTAAAACCAGTAAACAAATTCCATTAAGTTCATGGAGCTTGCAATTTCTTTGGTTATGTTTTTCCCCTTAAATTGTGGGTGTTATGTTTTGTGCATTTTTGTTTATTTCTATTCTTAAACTAGTATTTTTTTTTTGAGTTGCTTCAATGGTACAGAACTGCAACACTATGGGCCACATTGATTCTGTAAAGGTCGGTTGTGAGAAAATAGGGATGACATTAGTTACTGAGATTGATCGGACAATAAAGAAGTACTTTGACGACTTACTACATGCGGTGGATGGTCTCAGTGCAAGGCTCTCTCAACTGGAAAGTAAAACTCACCAGGTTGAGAATGCTGTAGATGATCTGAAGGACTCTGCTGAATATAATCATGGGATAACAGATCGAAACTTGAGGCAGCTGGAGAATATTCTAGTAGAGGTATGTTTTACATCAACAATGCCTTTATATATTATGATGTTTTTATTCATCATGGAAACTTTCATCTTGGGGACCAACAACGGGCAATATGTGTAGAATTATAGTTATTTTCCCCTTCCTTGACTTTCTGATAAGAGGCTTTACTTATTATTTTTAAGCCACCTTGGAGTTGAAGTTATAGTCTCTTGGATATTATTGGAAAGTGCATCAACAGTAGTGGATAGAAAATTTGTAGCTGGTAGTTGGGTAGAGCAGTCTGCTGCTCCAATTTATTGGTTGTGGTAATATGCCAGAAGTGTGTGCAAGTCCTTTTCTTTTACAAGTAAAAGTTTATCAGTAAAGAGTGCCAATGAAAGGCTACAACCCAAGTACATGCAGCGTGAACCTAGGCACCTTCTGTAAAGAAGTGCCCATATCTTCTCAAAGAAATAGTCCAATTACTTTTCACCAAAATTAGCTAAAAGGGGTAGCATTTTAAGCTTTTCATTTCCTCATACCAACCCCCTCGCCCAACCAACTGGTGCACAGCTTGGACAAAGTACCAAGAAATGTCCACGCCATCCAAATCTTATCAACAAATCCCAAACCTCCATCACCATAATGCAGTGAATGAACAAATGATCCCCAGTCTCCATCCTCTCTGTCTTTGGACATGCAACACCAATTAGAAAGAATTGACATCTTGTGACTAAATTAACAATTGTTGAGATATTCCCATGAACTGCTGACCAAGTTAAACTTGGAAGAATTTTTTGTGCCCCATATTCCACTTGAAGGAAAAGTAACATCTGTAGTAGCATCCAATAAGATATAACAATTTCATTTTAACTTTGAACCTCCCCTGTCTTTTGGGGTCTCTGCTTCATTGCATCCACACCTCTCAAATTAATCTCTTTATACAAGACTTCAAAGAGCTTCAGTGTTGCCTCATCTTTTCAATTGTTGACTAGCCTATGAAAGGTAATATCCCAAGAAACCCACCTCTGTTATGACAGATAATATGCCACCATTGCATTCTTGTTCTGAGCATCCTATATATTCCAGGTATAGCTAGTCCTGAAGAACTTTCTGCGCACTGTAAGTTTGGGTTTTCTTCAAAGAGAGAAATCAAATGGTTCACATTCAAAGAAATGGGAAAGAATGATATGGTGAGAGATGGGAGAGAGTTAGGACTATGTATTCAAAGGCTGAGGCAGCATATCAGATATGGCACATACTGAACTCCACTCTCCAGTATCCGACCCATTTCAGGTGGGCGCACTACTAGATACATGTAACCATTCTTACACGTGCCAATAGATGCAATATCTGTTTCGTGAACTGAGCGCAACATGTGTCCCTTTCTACGACATGTGGTGAGATCAAGTGATGAGGTATAATATAGAGAAAGGGCTCATACATGTGAGATGATGTGGGGAAAATCCCTTTTACATTAGATGGGATTCTCCGGTGATAAACCCATGAAAGTGATTTGTAATAATCAGGTTATTATGTGCATTGCTAGTAATCTTGTATTTCTATGAGAAGACAAAACATATCAAGGTAGATTCTCAAAAGATTTGGTGATGAGTCTGGTGATGAGTAAAGAGACGTTCATTTCTTATGTACAGTCTAGACTCAATTGGGGGATCTTTTTACTAAGGCATTGGGAAGACTCATTTCTCCGAACCATGTAATGAGCTGGGCTTGATAAATATCTATTTGCTCCAGCTTGAGGGGCAGTGTTGGGAATCGGTATAATAAGTTTTGGGGCCATATTGAAATTATTATCACGTTATATAAGATACATAATGAGGCAAGCCCCTCTCTTTTTCGTGTTTATGTGTGTTCTTCTTCTACTCTCCTGCGCTAATTTCTTTCTTCACAATTGTAACAGTATATATATACATACATATTGGATACTGCTTATGAGCAATATAAATAACTTCTTGCAGGTTGAAGATGGTATACTCTTTTTAAAGGATAAACAAGAAATAACAGAAACTCAGCTTCGACTTTCAAAACTTCAAGGTTTGATTCATAACCGACAATCAGAAGAACGAAACTGTGTTGTTCAAACTGACTCAGTTCAGCAGATGAACCAGCCAATTGCTTTTTCTGGTGCTCCTTCACTAGCTCATCCTACCCCGTCTCCCAGTGCTCCGATCCTAACCTATCAAAATCCACCACCAGCTGCAGCACCTATAGCAGCACAGGTTACTAGTCAAATACCGCAGAACTCAATTCCTTCCACTCTGGCTGAATCATACTACCAACCACTGAGACAAACTTTAGAATCCACATATCATCAATTTTATCAACCAGCCCCTCAACATCCTCAAGTGTCACAACCACAACAGTTGTCTCAACCTCATCCTCCTCTTGCATTTAATCCTCGAAACCATCCTCCATTGGACCATCATTTTGAAGAAACACATTACATGCCATCTCAGCCGCCAGGTGGGTTCCCCAGCCAGCAGTTCTTTGTGGATTCCACTCAACAAATGCATGGTCAACCCTTTAGGAGGCCAGGGCCTAACTTGGATTTCCCTATGGGGTATTCCCAGACACCTGGGCCAGCTAATTTCGGGGATATGCATCCTTATGTTGGATCTTCGTCCCATTATGGCAACTCAACAATGGAAAAATCAAAAGTGCCTCCTCCCCATTGTAACCTGACTGACGGAAGCAATTACGCCCGACTCCCAAAAGCCCAGATATTACCACATGCACTGCCAACTGCCTCTAGCATCGGTAGCGAATCTGGTTCTGGTGAGAGTGGAGAGAAGGTTCCAAGTGATGATATTATCGAGAAGGTTACGGCAATGGGTTTCCGGAGGGATCATGTAAAAGCAACGGTGAAGAAACTAATGGAGAATGGAAATTCAGTGGACCTCAATGTTGTTCTTGATAAGATGATGAGCAATGGGAATGTGCATCATCAGGATGGTCGGTTTGGCAGGTGATACGGTTGTTGCCTCTCATATTGGTTTGAATTGATGATGATTTCTGTACATAATGTGATCTAGTCCTTCCATGTGCTGCTCTTTTTGGTTGTTAAATACTCAACGCACATAATTTGTAAATGGTATCTATATCTTGTCGTATAGTACGTGGTTATGAATAAATTTTGTGTATCTTCCTATTCCCATGTTTTTCTACATTCTGGGCATGCTTTAATTTGGGTGCTGTGATCTTTATAAGAAGCAGGGGAAGGAAAGATCTTTATAAGGAGTTTCCTTTCCTCTTGTTTCTCTCTATGATTCAAATGGAGACTCAGTTGTCTGCTTTAGGTTGTTGACAAGTGAAAATGTTACTGTTTGGTAAACTGTTTGTTCCGACACTTGTCTCTTCTATGTAAGATAAACTCATTTTGTCGATGCTCTTATATTCCCTTGCGCATTCATTTCTCAGCCAAATTAAGCTCTTATTGTCCATACAATATTGGAAATGGACAGACTGTTGAGTTTGAAGTTTACAGGTGTTTAAATCTTTGCTTGCAACATTCGACACTGATATTGTGTTAGTGCTCTATTTCTCAAGTACTTTTGGTAAGAATGTAAGAAGAAAAAACGTTTAAGATAGAGTTTGCAACATAAAGAGAGACAGTGGACTGTGAGGTCCACAAAATGGAAGAACAGGACATGAGAACTAAATTAGCTAAATTGACTCTGGGAAATGGTGGCAAATCCCAGAAATGGAGCTACCAGCCCACCACATTTTCTTGCACTTGGAGGGAGGCTTTGACTATCTGCAAGAAATCATTATGCTTTTGTAACTTGTGATTTGAATTTGATGATTATTTTGCCATACAATTATTATTATTATTATTTTTTGGTGAAATCCCTCCGACATTCATAGTTTGGTTTGGTAGGTGCATCAAGGCAAGGATATAAAAGTGGAAGGAGCGCATCTATTCAATAATACACTTAGTGTTACAAGTGTCACCCCATGAAAAAGTGAGTAGGTATATATGAATCGAGTGTTATTTTCACTTAATATCGTAAGTTTTTTAATTGGATCGTGAAGCGCTTGATTCATTATAGTTGGTATCAGAATCAGATTCAGTCTCTTGTTTAGTGTTACACTAAGTGCTCAGCCCAGACTTCAGAGGCATTCGGGTCCCCACCCTGGGTAGGTATGATGGCCCGACTGTAATGAAGGTGTTGCGAGATTGAGTATGCGAAAATGTTACAAGGTTCCACATTGAATTCAAATGAAAAATTGAATGGGTGTATATGGGTGCAAGTGTGAGCTCAATCTAATAACTTAAACTTTTTGATTGAATTGTAGAGCATCTAACTTGTTACGCCTATCATCTTGACTTAATTTATACCAAGAATGTATATGGTCGATTTTTTTAATTATTATTTTTTAAAAAAAATTTCTTCCAATATCATTTCGCGGTTCAATATTCTATCTTCAAATTTAAGATTATAATAGTACATAAAATTTTTCCCTTAATTTTTAATTATATTTATATCGTTTTTGGATATAAGAAAGAAAAAGAACTGTCCAAGGGAGGCCATTGGGCTAATGTACATCAATCATGAAATTATTCGAAAGGAATCATCAGTTAAACAACAAGCGGTCACAACCGGAGAGAAATGTAGTGTCAGAGAAGGAAAATCAGCGATTTAGGGTTGATTGTGAAGCCCTAAGCCCTAATCGATTATCACACAGGGATGTCCCAGGACATTAGGGCTTGTCTAGCTTCAAATCGATTCATGAGAGAGTTCCATTGGAGCTTTAGCCCTAATAGGGTTCATGACCCTGTTCTGCGAAGGAGTTTCTCCATTGAAGATCCTTGAATTTCTTTCGATCCTTATGCAGTGGACATATGCCGAGAGAGCAAGTTTGAAGTAAGTAAATAATCACAATATAAATATATACTGAGCAAGTTTGAATTCAATAATTATCAGAATCGAATAATACTATGGTATTATATAGCAATAATATACCTGTTGTTTTAAGAAATTATGAATTATGTTTTGATTGTATTCAATGCAGGTTCAATTCAAGCATATGGGTTAAAAAAACATAATTGTGATGCTTTATCTCAGATATCTGATACCACTTGGTGAGTTTTTTTTTTTGTTTTTCTTTTTGTTCAGTATATATTTTGTGGGTTCAATGGCTTATTATGACTGTGTTAACTTAGTAAACAAACCTTCATATACAAACATTTTACACAATTTGGGAATGAAGCTATAAATGACTAAACTTATTTGATCAAGTTATTCACTAAACATTCAAATAAGCACACACCATTCTCCTATGTTGAAGTGAAACATCAATCCGCAAATTACTGCCAATCAACATCCAAAATATGAAGATAGAAATTGTATAAAGAGGACCAACATGTGTATATAGGATTTGGTTATATGTAGTCCATTACTCTATATATTTAAATGCAACACATTAACTCAGAAAATTGAATCCCCGCCCATATGCAAGTGTCTCTAAATTGATACAATTTACAATTTTATTCGATTTTACTCATTTTGCAGCAAGTCGTAGAAAAGTTCCATAACTTCCACAGCTTCCACACTGTAGGTCATATCCCAGCACTGCCTAGTATTACCGTGCCATGCAAGTTCCGCAATTCACTCATGTCTATAACTTTCCTTGAAAGCTAAAATTAGTGGAACAGTTATATCAGAAAAGATTTAAAAGTACCATTCAAAATCCCCAAGAGAGAGAACCCATATCTATCCTAAATCAATTATTACAAAATTATGTGGAAAAAAAAAAAAAGAATGTATTAATATAAAATTTCATTAACCACCAAAAAATAGGAAAAAAGGTATATATAGAGAGAGTTAACTCTTGTAAGATACTAAGACATGAGCTTAGAGCTTTAGAGAGATTGTTTCTGCTGAAGAAGTCATTGTGATCTCGTTCGTGAGAGAGAGACAAAGACAGACTAAATTTTAGGGCCCATTTGGCATTCACTTTAGTTTTAGGCGTTTTGTTTTTAGCTAAAATTGAAATAATGTTTTTGCTGTAGGAGTGTTTTGGAAAAAAATCGGAAGCACGTTTGGGAACGATGTTTTAGGTGTTTTGTTTTTGGCCTGTGTTGCGCTACTGTTATGGTTTTGGTCATGAACTGTTGTCAAAACAAGAAAAAACAACTTTTTGGTGTTTTAGTTTTGGGCCACTATTCACAAAGTGTTTTAGCAATGTGTAAAATAAAACAAGGCCGCACCAAACATGCTTTTGTTGCTAAAATCGACATTGTAGCAGCCCAAAAACAAAAACAGCAGAAACAAAGGGGCCTTAGCTGAGAGAAGAATGAAGAAGAACGGTTAAATATTTTGGCTAACTCTTCAGACAAATGGTAAGATTCTTAAGGACGTGAATATTAAAATGTGTTGTAATAGTTATTTAAAAATATAATTTGATTAAAAACTGAAATATTTCTTAAAACCCCTTTTACTTATCCAAAAAAAAAAATGAAATATAAAATTGAAAAGATCACTTGGTGTGAACATTCTTAAGAACATGACATATTAAAATGTGTTGAAACATGCTTTTGTTGCTAAAATCGACATTGTAGCAGCCCAAAAACAAAAACAGCAGAAACAAAGGCGCCTTAGCTGAGAGAAGAATGAAGAAGAACGGTTAAATATTTTGGCTAACTCTTCAGACAAATGGTAAGATTCTTAAGGACGTGAATATTAAAATGTGTTGTAATAGTTATTTAAAAATATAATTTGATTAAAAACTGAAATATTTCTTAAAACCCCTTTTACTTATCCAAAAAAAAAAATGAAATATAAAATTGAAAAGATCACTTGGTGTGAACATTCTTAAGAACATGACATATTAAAATGTGTTGAAACATGCTTTTGTTGCTAAAATCGACATTGTAGCAGCCCAAAAACAAAAACAGCAGAAACAAAGGCGCCTTAGCTGAGAGAAGAATGAAGAAGAACGGTTAAATATTTTGGCCAACTCTTCAGACAAATGGTAAGATTCTTAAGGACGTGAATATTAAAATGTGTTGTAATAGTTATTTAAAAATATAATTTGATTAAAAACTGAAATATTTCTTAAAACCCCTTTTACTTATCCAAAAAAAAAAATGAAATATAAAATTGAAAAGATCACTTGGTGTGAACATTCTTAAGAACATGACATATTAAAATGTGTTGAAACATGCTTTTGTTGCTAAAATCGACATTGTAGCAGCCCAAAAACAAAAACAGCAGAAACAAAGGCGCCTTAGCTGAGAGAAGAATGAAGAAGAACGGTTAAATATTTTGGCTAACTCTTCAGACAAATGGTAAGATTCTTAAGGACGTGAATATTAAAATGTGTTGTAATAGTTATTTAAAAATATAATTTGATTAAAAACTGAAATATTTCTTAAAACCCCTTTTACTTATCCAAAAAAACAATGAAATATAAAATTGAAAAGATCACTTGGTGTGAACATTCTTAAGAACATGACATATTAAAATGTGTTGAAATTCCAAAAGCAGCAAGTTTGTAACTGCTAGGGTTTCAAAAGGTGCAAGTGTGTATTGTTGTTTAAAATATTATTTGATTAAAAACTGAAATATTAAATTGGTAACATAACTTAGTGTGGCCTCTTCAGATTCTATATTTTGTTTAAAAAAAATACTGAAAAATGTAAAGAAATAATCAAAAGTGGTTAGACTTTTTTAAGTAGTAAAGAATATAGATATAGATATAGGTATGGATAAGGATAAGGATAGTATATTGTTATTAAACGTGAAGTTTAAACATTTTTGTTACATTTAGTACAGAGTTGGAGTTCCACCTCAAATGTGAAGTTTCCGAAAGTGAATAGTATTTATGTGAGGAAAAATGATACTTACACCAATAATTCTAACCAATTTCTTTTAGCTGAACCTATGTGGTTGTCCAGTGCCCACAAAATTCTATTTTGGGTGGTAAGCAATCATGGCAAATTTTTCACCAAGTTCTATCTCTTCTCCGTTTTTCTCTTTCCTCTCTCATTGTATAAATTACCCCCAATGTGAACAAAAGGCTATAATATGGCTTGAAAACCATCAGATTGTTCATTGCAAGGAAATCACAATCTTAACATCTAAGCTTCCAAATTTGTGGAAAAAGAACTTATCTCTCTGTATTTTTCTTTTCTTTTTTTAGGTAAAACCATCTCTCTGTTGATCAGAGGAACTATTCAAGTCTCATCACACTTCCCACGTGTCTTCACACTAATATTACCCCACACCCCCCCCCCCCCCCCCCCTTCCCGACACACCACCAAAATAATAATAATAAAAAATAAAAAAATATTTTTATCTAATTGCAATGGGCTTGAGTTTTAAATAAAGAATCAACTGGTTAGTGAATATTAATGACCTTCTAGAGCATTGTTCTGTGTTGTAAATCTAGAGTGTCATGCTCACTTATTTGGCTGTTTAATTGATATTTGACAATGTGATTAAGTAATTTTCAAGAACAACATCATGATTACTGCCACAAAATTAGTATTTACGACATGATATTTACTCAATGTGGGGCATGGAACATTGTAAAAAATTATTTTTTAGCACAACCATACTCTATTGTACAATTGAGTAAGAATTGTGTTTTAATCGCATTTTTCCCATTATTAATGACTTTTAAATATCCTAGATGTCGAACTTATTACTTTGCCATTTTATTTTATTAAATTTTTTCCAAAGACTTAAGAGTTTGCACTTCTCCAATCAAAGTTTTCGGGGTTTGCAAAATTTAAACAAAATAAATAAAAATATAAGGTTTTGTGTTTGCGGGCATAAGTTTATGATTTTAATTTTCTTTTTTAGGGTTTTATTTTTCTTTGCGGGCATAAGTTTATGACTTTAATTTTCTTTTTTAGGGTTTTATTTTTCTTTGCGGCAGATAATATAAAAAATTATTTTTTAGCACAACCATACTCTATTGTACAATTGAGTAAGAATTGTGTTTTAATCGCATTTTTCCCATTATTAATGACTTTTAAATATCCTAGATGTCGAACTTATTACTTTGCCATTTTATTTTATTAAATTTTTTCCAAAGACTTAAGAGTTTGCACTTCTCCAATCAAAGTTTTCGGGGTTTGCAAAATTTAAACAAAATAAATAAAAATATAAGGTTTTGTGTTTGCGGGCATAAGTTTATGATTTTAATTTTCTTTTTTAGGGTTTTATTTTTCTTTGCGGGCATAAGTTTATGACTTTAATTTTCTTTTTTAGGGTTTTATTTTTCTTTGCGGCAGATAATATAACCCTCCCCCCCCCCTGACCCTGAAGGTTTAAGCAAATGCGAACATACCCACAATATTGACCTTAGCAAGAAAGATCATACCATCTAACTAATGCCCGTTGGTTCTCACTCTCTTGTTTCCCCCCTCCTGTTTGAGATAGAAAATACTGTAGCTATGGATCTGAAGTTTAAGATATTTAGGTTTAATATCATTCGAAGGTTTAGGATTTCAGAATTAATACAGGGTTGCTATTGGCAACTAATAACATTACATTGATGAATTAAATTCAATTTTAAATAATTTTGAGTATTCTAATTGCACTTCATTAAAAGAAATCAATAATTCCAGTCTTATGAGAAGATACTGGGTGAGCCGGGCATACCACGCCATTGGGATTTCCACCCAATAAAAACTATTAAATCTAGCTTAACCAATTCCCAAAAAAAGCATTCTGCCTTAATAATGAATGTTCTTAAGGGGTTAGTTTGTAAGCTATATACTTTTACAAATTTTCACCTTACATATTGCCTTAGGATTATTGTTTGCTCTTGAGATACAAAACTCTGGTTAGTGACTTGTCAAAACTAAGCAGGGTGTTTCGTGCATGTACTCTTTTGTATCCTTCATTCTATAAGTTCTGAAGATGTGTTTACAGAATGTTTTTACAAAATCTGAAAGAAGTATTACGGTCAACCCCCACATTAACACTAAAAACCACAAAAATTATAAAGAGTGAAAACTTTCCGAACACTTTTTCCTGAAATCCCTTGCTGCATACACGTTGGCATCTCTTAGATTTCGAAAAAGAAACTTGGGTATATTTTTCTTTGCGGCAGAGATATATATATTTTCAAAAGTTCAAGCAAAAGCGCAGGCGCGCGCACACCCACAATATTGCCTCTAACAGGAAAAATCACATCATCTAACAAATGTACATGGGTTCTTTTCTTTCTTGCTTCTTCTTGTTCCTTTTGCTTTTCCTTTCTTTTCTTTCTCACTTTTTCTCAATATTTCACTTTTTTTTTAAAAAAAAAAAAAATCAATAATCCCACAGTTTTATGAGAAGATATTGGGTGAGCCGGGCTTACCAGGTCATTGGTATGACCACCCAATCAAATACTATTAAATCTAGCTTAACCAGTTCCCCAAGAAGAATTCTGCTTTAATAATAGTGCTCTTAAGGGGTCGGTTTAAAGCTACATTAGTACTGTTTGATTGCAACTAATGATCCTTTAATTGTCTTTTTCTAAGTTGCCGTCGCCATCTTTCAAAAATATTTTGTATCAATATATAGTGCCGGGAAACAAAAAAACTAGTGTTAGTGACCTGTCAAAACTATGCTACATGCATTTACTCGTGTCTTCATTATACAAATTCTGAACCGGTAAAGCTAAAAATTCTGCTACGTGTTGGCATCTCATATCCAGTTGTCAAGAGTCTTTCTTTTTGTGTCGAAAAGATTAGGCTTGCAAACTCTTCTGCTTTGCTATATATAAATGCTGTAAACATCTTCCCTTTTGTGTCAACATCGTGCTCTCTCTCTCTCTCTCTCTCTCTCTCTCTCACTCACTCACTCACACACACACACACACACACACACACACACACACACACTTTCATTTTATGTGTTGATTTCTTGCTTAAGAGAGAAGGATGTTGAAGTTTCTGTGAACCAGGCATGTTTTGATAGTCTCTTTCGCCATCAACGTGGGGTTACTACTACAGAGGTTTACAAATTCCAAAGATTATGGTTCCCAAAGCTGCAGGCAAACGTTCAAAGGAGGACCAATGTGATAAAGTCGTCACCGTCAACGAGCCTGATTTCAGTTGATGAAGTGAAACCTCAAGATTTAGGGTAAGTAATTAGCAATCTTGATTTGTAAGCTCTCATTCTCGATATAATATTGCCCTTATGTTCATGTAGTTTTAACTTCTTTTATTGTTTCAATTTAGTCAGGATTCTCATTTTTTCTAGTTAAAATGACCCATTTAATTTAATGGTGATATATTTAGTAGGATTACTGAGGAGGGAGGGGAAAAGGGAGGAGAATAGGTGGATTTTTATGTTTTTGATTATTTTGCACTCCAGAAATCCTTTTTGAATGTTGAAGGACACACACACACACACACACACACACACACACACATATGCATGTATATATAGTCACACACATACAAACACACACATATAGGGGGCTTGTTCAATTTTGATATTAAAGTTCATGGAAGATTGGTGTTTTTAGTGTGAGCCTTAAGACAGGAATAGGGTATGTATTCAATGTGCAAGTAAATTTCAGTTGTACCTATCAACCAAGGATAAATTCCGTCCAATTCCTCACAAGGCTATTTAAGTAATTTTGTACTATCGTATTTTAATCTCTAAAATAGGACTTTTAAATTATTAGAGAAGTTGATTGATTGCTCTGTTTGATCTCAAAACCAATAGTCACATCATACTTAGAAAAATATGAGACTTATGAGATTTTTGATATTTTTTATTGCTTCTTTCCTTTTCTCAATATATATATATGTGTGTGCAATTAGTTTAATATTTTATCTGAATCTAGCGTTATGGTATTGTATTTGTTGTAGCTAAAGTTACTAATTCTAAGTTATAATTTGATATGTAATTCAGTGCAGTGGCGACCCACAAAGTATAAAAGATTCTGGCAGCAAATGGGGAACAAAACTACAATTCTTATATCTGGAGACCAGCACTTAAAGATATTTTTCTAACATCAATAACCTTTGCTGGTTTTTGGAACGTAAACTTGCAAGTGCAATCACTAGATTTCATCAAATAGTAGGAAAAGTCGAAAATTGACACATTATGGTGGGAACCGGTTCCTCGCAACTCTATCAAACTACACTACTGGCTTTCTCTCCGTTCGATGCTTTTGAGGCAATGAGCGCGATTGCAGCTGCCCCATACTACTCAGTGAGTTTTATTTTTATGAGTTCAATATATTCTTATAGAAATCTTATTATCTCTTTAAGGAGCTGTCATTCTTGAACTTGCTGATCCACTTACTCCTCGATAATTAAATAAAGTGAAATCGTTACTTTGTCGGTTGGATCATGTAATGTAGCAGCCATGCTTATTTTTGGTTTTGTCCTCTTTGATATCTCTATTTATTGAAATTAATAATATACACATTTATTTCCCAACCGAAAAAGGGAAGAAAAAGTAATAAAGAAGTAGATAACGGAACATTTATGCAATGTCAGCTGATCTTAAAGATTGCAAAATCATTTTTCTTTATCTGTAAGTCATTTCGTACAATTTTGATCTATAAAATTTTTATCTTATTAGAAAGAAGACATTTAGTACACTAACTAGTAGTTAGCTTTCTAATTACTTTTAATGTTGTATATATTTATGTTTTGTTTTTTTATTTTCTTTATATGGCCTTTGGCAACTAATTAAGTTTTTGTCCCTTGATTCTTCTTCTTTCTCTCTCTCTCTCTCTCTCACACACACACACACACACACACACACACACACACACGAGTTATTGATCAGCATTCTCTAATGAAGTAGATACTTAAGACTAATCTCAAGAACTAGTTAATATTGAATTTAAAGTAGATGGTATAAATGCTGGTCTTGATTATGGTGTTTTTTTTTTTTTTTTTTGGTCCTAAAGTAGTTGATCAGGACAACATGATAAGCATAAAAATGTCATAAAATAATATAAAAAATGTTCGCAACCTATTGTTACTCCACTGGATTTTATTTCACCACAAGTATATTTTGTTGGACATTTAATTAATTTTTAGTGCTTTACCATTTATTTGTGTTCATTGCTTGCAGTCTTATCTAGGAATGACTGGTTTCCTAAAGTCTGGGCTTCACAAATGGGATGGTGATGCACATACATTGAAGTTGTGGCATCCCCAAACAACCCTGATGGTTTTACAAGGGAACCTGTGGCAAACCGTAGAGAAGGAAGGGTGTTATAGTCAAACACCACAATAAAGTATACTTTTTTTTTTTCCGGAAATCCCTCGCTGCATGCATGTTGGCCTCTTCTTCTTGTTCTTTTTTCTTTTTTATTTTATTTTTTCCTTTTTTTTCTTTCTTTTATTTATTTATTTTTTCCCTCTCTGTTTTGAGATAGTTAATACTGTAGTTAATGATCTAAAGTTTAAGCTTATTTTGATTCAAAATATTTTTAAGATTCAGGTTGCTTTAGGACTTATTAACATAGGGTTGCTATTTGCAGCTCAAAACATAAGATCAATGCATTAAATTCTATTTAAAATAATTTTGAGTATAGGCCAAGCTCGCCATCTCTTGTTAGAGTTATCCTTGCACTTTATTAAGGTACAAAAATTAAAAAAAAATAATAATAAAAATAAAGCAATGCTCTCGTTTTGAGTGATAAAGTTGAGTCCCCGACATGTCTAAAGGTAGATAAGTTAATTTTTTAGGGTTAGATATTTATTGCTTGCACCATTTGTGGTAGGAGTGTAACTTAAGTTGGGTTAATTCGAATCTAACTTGAGTCTAACTTAATTTTTTATGAATTTGGGCAATCATTTTTACAATTAAGATTGGATTTAGGTTGAAAAATCTTTAACTCAAATTTAATTAAGGTTGGGCTTGCGTTGAAGTATTGGCAATCTGAGTCAACCGAACCCGAATTCTAATATTATTTATATATATATATTTACTTTTAAGTACATTATATACTATATTTAAATTCGGAATCTAAGCTGGAATGTAAAATTAGAAGGATGGGTTGGACTCGGGTTGAGGAAAGGGTAAGGATTAGGGTTGGACTTGGGTTTAACATTTATACAGTGAGTTGGATTCAAATTATACCTCAAATCCGTCCAACCTACTCAAGTTGTAGCCCTAATGTGCGCTACAAGAATATTTTTAAACTGGTGGTGTTTTAAGGTTGACTCATGGATGATTTTTCTTATACTTTGTACATCGTAATTATTAAAATTTATAACGTGCTCCACTCAATTTTAAAAGTCGATTTTCTTGTGCTTGCGCGCTAATGTTTTAAGGTTAACCCATGGGTGATTTTTTCTTTAAAAAAAATCAATAATTCCACAATGTTATAAGCAATTCGAGCCTTTAATTTTTTTTCTTTTATTTATTTATTTATTTTTTCTCTAAGTTGTAGTTACTGCAGTATCATTCAAAATGATTTTGCATATATATATATATATATATTGTCTAGTATTGAAACAAAAAACTCAGTTAGAGTGATTTGTCGAAACTGAGGAGGGTGGTTGTATGCATTAATTCTTCTTGCATCTCTACCTGAAATCCCTCCCTCCATGCATGCATGCATGCATCCGTGTTGGCGCGCATTTCCGTTTGCAGTCCACACCTGTCCCCCCGCATATTTCGCTCCTTCCTCCAGTTGTCGTGGATTTCTCTGTGATCGGAGCTATATATTTTTTGCATCTTCTGATTCTTCTTCTACCCTGAAACAGAGTCCCACTGTGTGTATATATCACTGTGTGTATCTATCACTCGCGTACTCCCCTGAAACAAAGTCCCACTGCGTGAACACTGTGTGAAGATGTACAAGTTTGTGTCCCTGAGACATGTTCTCCTCGTCTCTTTGGCCATCAATGTTGGGCTTCTATGGAGGTTTACCAACGAAGGAAATGGATCGGACGCAAACGTTCGAAGAAAGACCAATGTAATAAGGTCTTCTTCATTTACAACGGGGTTAATTTCAGTTGATGAAGTCCAACCTCAAGAGTTTATCAGTCTTCAAGTGTAATCTCTCTCTCTCTCTCTCTCTCTCTCTATATATATATATATATAGACACACACACTGACATACACTAGGGCAGAGAACTGAAATATGAAACTTTAAGCTCATCGCCTTTTGTTTTAAAAACATGTGGAATTAATTTAGTATTTTTGTCAGAATTTAGCATTATGGTACTGTATAATATTTGTTATAGCTAAATTTACTAATACTAAGTTTTAATTTTATATGTAATTCAATGCAGTGGCGACCCCACAATGTATACAAGATTCTGGCGGGAAATGGGGAACAAGACTACAGTCGTTTTATCCGGAGACCAGCACTTGAGTTACATATCCAACGTGAAAAACCTTTGCTGGTTTTTGGAACCTAAGCTTGAGAGTGCAATCACCAGATTGCACCAATTAGTGGGGAATGCGGTCGTCGACGATCGCCACATTGTGGTGGGAACCGGTTCCTCGCAGCTCTATCATGCTGCACTGTATGCTCTCTCTTCGCTCGATGCTTCAGAGCCGATGAGCGTGGTTGCAGCTGCACCATACTACTCGGTGAGTTGTCTTTATTTATTTAATTTTTTTTTTTTTTATGGAAATTTTATTTGATGAGTTTGATCATGTAATGCGTCCTCTTTGATATTTTTGTTATTGTAATCAATAATATACACATTTATTAATTTCCCAATAACTGACTTTATTATCTCTCTGATTATTCCAAATAGGGTTTTTCAGAAAAAGAGGTTTCTGTAGCTCAACGTGGGGAAGATAATAGATGGATAGAGATAAATTTCCTAGAATTGAATGAGATAATTATGTGATAGATCGTAGAGGATGAGAGAGAATTGAAGAGAGAGAAAGAGTTGGGTAACCCTGGTCTGACGTGGCTATGCCATGTTTGATTCGGACTATCATTCATTCGGGCAGATTAATTGGGTCGGCTCATGAGTATCATTACTCTTTTTTAATATTTTTATTATTGAAATCAATAATATACACATTAATTAATTTCCCAATAGAAAAAATGAATTTCCCATAGATACTTAATTTTTTACCTTTAAAAAATCATAGATACTTTTTGAAATTTATTTAATGATTATTTATACTTATATATATATATTTCTTTTAATGCTGGTGAAATGTCAAAGTTAAATACTAAAATCGAATTTATGTTTGCTACCATCAATACATTTTTTGGTGGCGTCCAGTAAAAAAAATTTACGAGGGGCATTGCACGTTGTTAACATGTCTATTTATACATTTTAAATTTATTTTGAACAGCATATATTTCCATCAACAATGTCTAAAATCGGCGATTGACATTGAACGTGACAATAATATTACTACCAAATTGTAATTGATAGTTCTTTTCTTTCGATAAGCTTAAAATTTTCATAAAAAAACAGCAAAAATGTTCACTAACCTATTGTTACTCCACTGGATTTTATTTCACTACAAGCATTTAATTTGTTGAACATTTAATTCATTTGTAGTGCTTTACCATTATATGTGTTTATTGCTTGCAGTCTTACCCATCAATGACTGATTTATTAAAGTCTGGGCTTCATAAATGGGATGGTGATGCACACAAATTCAATAAGACCAAGCCATATATTGAAGTTGTGACATCCCCAAACAACCCAGATGGTTTTATAAGGAAACCAGTGGTAAATCATGAAAATGGAAGAGTGGTTCATGACCTTGCTTACTACTGGCCACAATATACTCCAATTTCTTCTCCGGTAGACCATGAACTCGTGATGTTCACTGTCTCCAAAGCCACAGGCCATGCCGGGATGCGCATAGGGTGAGAATTATATAATATACGTTATAAATTCAAAAATTATCAAAATTAGGAATATTTTGGTCGATATAGTATTTTTTAAGTATTGGTGTTTTTATATTTTGCAGTTGGGCTCTTGTTAAGGATGAAGAAGTTGCCAAAAAAATGGTGAAATACATCGAGCTCAATAGTATAGGCGTGTCAAAAGATTCACAGCTTCGAGCCACAAAGATTCTGCAAGCTGTGATTGATAGTTACGACCATACTAGCATCCCTGAAGAAGGTGAAACCTTATTTGAGTTCGGTTTTAACCTTATGGCAGAAAGGTGGAAGAAATTGAGGACAGTAGTGAAACAGAACCCTATTTTTAGTTTACCTAACTATTCTCCAGGGTTGTGCAGTTTTAGCGGTCGCACTTTTGAACCACAACCAGGTAATATCAGATGCACGTAGTATTATAATATTTGGAATATTTTTTGCCCTTGCTCGAGATAATTTCGTGAAATGATGTTTTTTTTTTCTTGTTACGTAATCATAGTCTTTTCTTCTTTTGCAGCATTTGCATGGTTGAAATGTGAGGGACAAATAGAGGATTGCGAAAGCTTCCTTCGGAGCCACAAGATACTAACTAGAGGAGGGGAGAAGTTTGGGGTTAGTACGAAGCACGTAAGAATTAGCATGGTGGATGAGGATAATACTTTTGATCTCTTTGCAGAGAGATTATCCACCATCCGTCAATAACAGTCCAAATGTGGTCTAATGTAAATAAATTTGTTAATATGTAGGACAATTATACATTTTTTTGTACAAACTCTACATAAATATCACATATATATATATGGATCTCTATTTACCATTTGTATGCGATTTTAAGATGTCATTTAAATTTTAGGAAGATGTACACTGAATTTTGCTTCTCAACTTGAGCAAATGAATCTATGCACGCCCTGGTTCAAAGCAATCTCGACCTTTAAAATCGAAAGAATGAGCATGAGCCCTAACTCATATGACAGAGAAACATGGAAGATACTTTCAACACATTTTCTAAAATTTCTGGACAGCCAAACAAAAAAATAGAGAGAGAAAATAAAATTTTCACAATCACTCCTTTGTCTCTCTCAGCTCCAAAACCAAACCGATCAATTATAAGATCTTCACAAACTCAATCCAACAACACAGAGATAAGCCCCAACTTAATGTACATATGGATTAGGTGGGTTCGAAGATTAATATGAAAAAAAGTGTGTGGGTGAAAGATGAAATACAGAAGATGCTTTATGAAACCCTAACTCACAGAAGGAAGGATCCATAGATAGAGAGAGAAAGAGACGAAGTGAAATGGTGTCAGCTAGTGACGGTGGGATGAGAGAGAGGGATGAACACATTTGACAAAGGGATAGAAAATAAAGGGTTGGTTGAAAAAAAATAATAAGGAAGTCACTGGAGCACATTTTAACAAGGGAATACATTAAAAATAGGTTTTAGGTGGCGGCATAAAACGAGTCGTCACTAAAATGTAGCCGAGCGCTTGTTCATTTATTTAAAAGCTTAAATTATTGAGTAGTGTTACATATTCACCCATTTATATTCCTTTTATTTTTTATCCGGATTTGATGTGGGATAAATACCCCTTATAACATTCTCCTCCATCCGAACTCGCAACACATTCGTTACGGTCGAGCCACCCTGTCTACCCGGGTGGCTCACCCGGACTCCTTTCGGTTCGGGTGCTTGGTGTGGCACTCTGGATCAAGAACTAAGTTTGGCTCTGATACCAAATATAACGGCTGAACGATTGTCCATTCACCAAAAAACTTAAAGTTATTGGGTAGCGTTGCATATCCACCCATTTATCTTTCCGTTCGGATCTTATGTGAGACAAATACCCCTTATAACACTTGAGATATAGTACTTAAGCATCAAATAGTTGAATAATTTCAAATTTTCATTAATTACAATAAACAATAGTACTATTAAGTGTCGCGAGAGCATCTCCAACCATTTTGTATATATTTTTTTTTTGTGTAAATCTAATGTGTCATAATAGATTGAATTATTTAGTTTTAGCTCTAACGATTGTTCAATGTCATGCCTGGACCCCACATAATTTTTACAAACTTACTTAACATAATCTTTTAAGTTAGACTTATAAAAAAAAAAAATAGTAATAGTAAAATAATCTTTTAGTTAGGATTAAAAGGATGAAGTAGTGAAATGGTCATTTCTAATTTCCACAATAGCAAAGTTGGATAAATAATTCACTTGTTGATCAAGAATATTTGTTCGGTTCTCGTTAGCTTAACCATAGTGAGCTAAGCCACAAATTTAGACCAAACGTTCCTGACACCGTGTAAATCATAAAATTACAAATATATCTTAGGGCACACTTTGAGCCAAACAAAAGCATACTGGGGCATAGTAATTACTAATTAGTAGGTAGCCTTGTATTGTACATATTTTTTTTGATCTGTTATAAAATTGACCATACATTATGTAGGGGTTCTTTTTTACTAGGTAATAAAATAACAATAAAATAGAGATATCAGGAATACAAATATGAAGGAAAATAGAGGAGATTCTCAGTGTAGGAGGAGGAGAAGAAGACCAACTATCAAGATCAAGATGGTGGTAGGGCGAGTATACAGTATTTCATGACAACTTTTCTTCAGTTCGGGAGGTTGGTTCTTTCTTCATAGGACAGTGCCATTTATAGATCTAGATTCCACTGGTCATTATCCAATGGTCCCTCTTATGCATGGTTCCTCGCATGCATCACCCCAAATCCGGATTACGTAAGTAATCCCAAAGATTTAGGGGTCTGAAGGGTTTAATCCTTTCCTCGAGCCTTGTCCCATGTTGCTATGTCACTTCTCCTCTAATCAAGGGCATTAAATGTTGCTTGGTCATCGGTTGGTCAAGCCTGACACAACATTAATTGTGATTTTAAGGTTTGCTGTCACGACGTGTATAATCCCATCATCTTGTTAATTGGGCCTTGCCGAGAGCGAAGACACCTCTTGACTTCTCATCCACCAATCCAAGATCCTTCTAAGTTTCCCAAACATGGATTCCTATAACACGAAGATCCTACCTTCATCTCGTGCTAAGGAGCTCCGATCTTTCAAGACAACATCGTTTGGCGTAACACCAGGATTCGGGATATTCGAGAGTCGGTCTCTTGAGACTTGATGGGCCTGGTGTGGCGCCAAGACTTGGAATGCTTGAAGATCAGCTTTTCGAGGCTTATTGGGCCTGGGGCGATGCCAGGGCTTAAACTGCTCGGGATTTGATCTTTCGAGGCTTGATGGGCCTGGAGCAATGCCAAGGTTGTGCTCGAGATTTGATCTTCGAGGCTTGAGGGCCTGGAGCGATGCCAGGGCTTAAAGTGCTCGAGATTTGATCTTTCGAGGCTTGAGGGCTTGGAGCGATGCCAGGGCTTAAAATGCTCGAGATTTGATCTTTCGAGGCTTAAGGGTCTGGATCGATGCCACGGTTTAGAGTGCTCGAGATTTGATCTTTCGAGGCTTGAGGGCCTGTATCAATGCCAGGGCTTAGAGTGCTCGAGATTTGATCTTTCGAGGCTTGAGGGCCTGGGGCGATGCCAGGGCTTAAAGTGCTCGAGATTTGATATTTCGTGGCTCGAGGGCCTAGAGCGATGCTAAGGCTTAAAGTGCTCGAGATTTGATCTTTCGAGGCTTAAGGGCCTAGATTAATGCTAGGGCTTAGAGTGTTCGAGATTTGATCTTTCGAGGCTTGAGGGCCTGGATCGATGCCAGGACTCAGAGTGCTTGAGATTTGATCTTTCGAGGCTTGAGGGTCTAGGGCGATGCCAGGGCTTAAAGTGCTCGAGATTTGATATTTCGAGGCTCGAGGGCCTGGAGCGATGCCAGGGTTTAAAGTGCTCGAGATTTGATCTTTCAAAGCTTGAGGGCCTGGAGCGATGCCAGGGCTTAGAGTGCTCAAGATTTGATCTTTCGAGACTTTTGATTTTTTAACTTGCCACGGAGGATTTAGCTAGGGTTGTATTGACTTGTCAACGTGCCACATCAGCGTCTGATAATTGACACCCACATTTTGCCCCCTGCACGTGCGACGATTCAAAATGAATTATTGCGCATGCAAGATTAGGTTTCTAGGTCATTTATTGTTTCGAAGAGGCTAAAGAGACGCGAGCATGAAAGGTCGCCTCCAGTTATTAATGCGCCGTCTGTTGCCGATTTGATTTTTGGGGGTTCCCGAGGTAAGAGGGCTATTAAAACGAAACAGTGACGGAATAAAGGGTTACTTGTAAAGGACTTAGAAAGTACGGAGATTACCTGAACTTCCATCGTCGTCGGAGAAGAGATCTCACGAAAGTTTAAAGTTCTTTGGTTCATTGTTTGATTAGTGGAAGGGACTGCTACCATGGTTAGCAAGAAACAAGAGTTATGCAAGAAGGATTGCCCTCCGCCAAAGGTGACGGGCGAGCAAGGCTGTGGTCAGAATGGTGACGGGCACCATTTTTTGGAAAAAGTGACCTGTTTTGGTACTGGGCGAGTAAGGTTGTGGTCGCCGGCGAACCACTTAAAGTGGTTGAATTGATGGAGGAGGAAGTTGAAATGAACCTAGCTCCTCGCATCCCTGCGGATACGATCCTGCGATTTGGGGTCGAGCAAGGGCAATATCCATGGTCCTATGTGAACTTCAATAATCATATAAGTCCAACCCATAGTTGGGAAAAATGGACGGACGCGATCCTTGCAAACCCAGAGTACGAGGCAATCTTGGACGCAGCGAGTTTAACACCGTGTATTAAGCTGTTTCGCCAAATACACATTCCTCATGACATTGTAGGTTTATGGGAATTAACCTCGCGATAGAGCTTAAGCTCACACACTTTCATTACTGCGTGGGGAGAGTTCACTCCCACGATTGAGGATGTGAGCCAGTTGTTAGGCCTACCTTTTCAAGGGGTAGAAAATCCTGGCTCTTGGGAGTTCGTGCAAGCTGAAGAGACTTTGGCTCATGATCTCAAGACGGCATTGGAGAAAACCAAAAATTTTAGGTCGTTGTGGGGCGCACAGGGTGTTCGCCATGCTAAGCGAGGCAAGGGTACACGCAAAGCCACTCTTAGGGCGTTAGTGTGATACTATTTTAAGGACTTCCCCATGACAAAAAAGAATCTCTCAGAGGAGGGAAGAAAAGGGATTCCAGGTCCCTGGGCTGATCATGTTTCCAGTCTCGCGGCCTACTTACTATGTTAACTATCGAGATACCTGTTCGAGGGGACTCCGGAGGATGCTCCGCAGCCACGACTTGTGGATCTAGAGGTGAAAGTGGCCCTCGCACCTCTCTTTTTGGGAACATTATACCACCGACTCGATATGGTGTGGGAAGACATGTGACAGTCTGTGGGGCGCTATGTTCATTGCTCGTACGCGTCTACCATATTTCTACAAATGTTCCTGTACGAGAGGTTCCAATCTTATGCTCCCATCCCAGTAGACTTGGCTGTGGACGAGGAGGTGGTGCGAGGCATGAGATGGCATGGTCGGTCGCCACGAGGACGGCTAGGATATGCCTTGGACCAAAGCTTCCAATTCATTAGTCGTCCTTATGTGGTGGACCTGCCTGCGGCTAAAACTCTGCCTATGTATTTTGATGATAATGAGCACATTCCAGCGGGTGCTCATCGTTTGAATACGAGCGAAGTGTTGGTGTTCTTGTTGATGAGCACCCCTGGCTACTTGCCCGCAATATGGGAAGGGGGCCAAAAAGCAAAGACATATAATGTAATACCCCTAGTTTTCAAAAGGACAA